AGTTTACTTCTCTATTGACACCCCCTCTCTCTCTCTCTCTCTCTCTGATTATTCACTTACAAATAGAATCATGACAAATAGTGATTAAACTCGTTGTTAGGTTACCTTTTAATTGTTCTGACCAGTAAACTACTTTTCAAAAGTGTCTCAGGTTCCAAATTCTGTTCTTTTGATTAGTTGGAAATAATCTTGAAAATTTATTCTCAAGACTTTTTTTTTAATTTACCAGAACAGTCCTTTTTTATTATTGTGTACCAGGTATTGTGGCATGACAATCACACTCAGAAGCTAGGCTTATCAAAAAGTTTCCTCATTGGTTAGAAATGTCTTTACTCTAGATTGTGGAAGAGGGTAGTTTTTTTGTGTAAATTTTTATAGTACTCTCCCACCTCTGCTCAATGTACTGTGCCAATTAGTCAAAAGAGATGGCTGGTAGGACAATATATAAGGAAACCTACAGAGACAGAGTGTGCTTAATCTTTATATAGTTCTCATGAGTCAGTTACTAAGAATAATCTATGACAATTATCAAGAATCCATGAAACTTAGCATAAAGGGATATACAATATCAGTGACGAGGAACCTCATCTATTCAATAGGAGTAAAGGTCTTTATGCTTCTAATAAAACAGTGGAATAAACAAACTGGTTCAATGAAAGGGACAAGTAACATTACAAGGATGAATTAACTACAAAGAATCAACTGATATAAAATATTATTCCCTGTCATGGACAGAAAATAAAAACAATTGTAACTTTAATATGTGTATTCCTTCATTTTTAAACTTTACAATTTTGTATTAAAAAAAAACTAGGAATATTTGAAATAATATTTATTTAATTCTATTCTTATCGGTACATGTGTACATGGACCCACTTTTGTACAGTCATACCAAACAATCTACCACTGTAAATTGAATAACAATTGCTTATTTATAATAATAATATTTACAACATCCTAAAAACTAATACAATTGTATTAAAACTAATGCAATATTTATCATTTACCAATTTATAAAGAAAAAAATGGAAATGTTTTTTTATTCATAATTATAAAAATATGTGAACCAACTATAATAAAATCCTTATTATTTACTATTTTATAAGGTTTGAAATAATGGGAAATTAGCCAATGTTTTGCCAACCATAAAACATCAAATAATGTAAATAACAATAAGTAAATAGTGATTAATATTTTTGTTGTAAATTCTCAGGGACAAGGAAAATGTATAAATTCACTTTCATATATTTAGGCTTCATTAAAATTTTAATCATCACTTTTAAAAAAACAAACATTGCCAAGGAGTGAAAGTAGTTGAAATAATAACAATGTCAAAGGAAAAACCATTTCTTTTGACCCACTGTTTTTTTGTTTGTTTGTTTTTTTTTTGTTTTTTTTTCAGACACAAAAGTTAAACATTTCTGATTTAATTTGAACTTCCCAGAAGGTTATCAACTGAAGAAACCTGCAGTGTACAATAGCTGAAACACTAGGACAATAACAACCAAAATGAAGGCACCCTACATGCAAGTCGCAAGTCACCTGCTGACAGGCTGTTGATGGCAACATTAGCAGTCCTCTGGTGGGAGCCACTGGTGGGCCCTTAGCAGACCTCCAGTGATAACATTGTTGAGATAAACATGCCAGTGGTCTGACAGTGGGCCACCAGCAGTAAACACTAGTGGCAGATTGGTGGCTTGCGTGTAGGGCACTAGTCAAAAGTTTATCAGTGTATAATTCTTTAATAACATTCTCAGTCTGTTTTCCTTCATGCAGTTGATGTATGTAACATTCTTATTCGGGAAGTGATATTCAAAACCCTTTTCAAAACAGTCTTGATTAAACACTACATTCTACAATTATTATTTTAGCATGCATCGGATTTCAGTGTGTATTTTGAGCATTGAAAAGTAGGAAGAAAAGAATTAACAGTGATCAAGATTGATTGGTTGATTTGTTTTTTATGGCTTATCAACCTTTGTGGGTCATTTAAAGCTGAAACACATTTTGAATTGTAGGGGGTTGCTTACTGTACCTGATGTTCCTCAGTAGTCCTCCATTGAAGCACTGATGAGGCTTGGCACTGCTTAACTTCAGTGATCAAACAAGAACCAGTGTTTTTAGTGTAATATGACCGTAGATCAGTGATCAGGAATCAAAGCAAACATTACTTGCAGAATAAGGCTATTATATAAATAACATAAATGCACTGTTAATAATTTTACTATCGAGATACCTGGAAAATGTTTATTCATTAATGAAAACACTTTATGTATGGAATTCAGGCATTTTAAAAGATTACGGGTATTTCTTGAAAGGATGTTTTTAGCTGACATTATTTCTTATTGCTATAAACATTATTTTTAGTGGGTACACATGTTTCAGTTGCTATCCATGTTTTTTCTTTATTAAACAGCAAAATAACAACTAGTCTAAATTGAGATGTACTAAATAAAAATTGTGCCTCTAACAGGAATGGAACCTGTATTTTTCCATCAAGGAAACCATTTTTTGAGCTAAAGTGTGCCTCTACCAGTTCAGCCATGTAGGCCAAACTGACAGGGCAAATTTTGAATTAACTATTTAAGGAAAGGATATTTCTCATTATGACTTCTACAAATCTATATCTGCTAGCTTCAGTTTCAGCAGACCCGAAATGTAAAAGAGCAGTAATATTTTGAAAGGATATCTTATCCAACATTATTTCCGATGGCTATAAATTTTATTTTTAGTCAGCACATCTTTGAGTTGCTATCTCTGTTTTTTTATTTTATTAAACAGTGAAATTAATAATAACTCACCAAAAAATAACATTTATAGTAATAAGAAACTACTACTATTGTTAGATATTAAATAATAGGAATGACAGTTGGTTTAACTAGACATGAAGTCTCCATGACCAAATTGGTAAAAGTGATGTGTATGTTGTCAGAATGTTGGATGTGAGTCAAGTATCATTAGAAGCTATTTCTTTATTTCTGATTCAGATAATTGAAGATTATAGAAGGCAGTATAAAATATAATCATTGGAATGCTGTTATAGTAGAATGTGTATACCATGCCTAACAGAACCATAAGTAACCTTAAACTAAACTATTTATTATCTTGGATTTTATAAGTTGATGTTAATGAAATGTTGAAATCTGAGTTGTTTACCTTCATTTATCAGGCATGATTGAATGTTGAAGTTTCTTTCTAGACTGTAAAAATTGTTTTTAAGTGTTTCTTCTTTGTGAACATCTTTAAAGATACATGAAATCATCATATTTCACAACCATTTACCATAGTCTACTTTATGCTAACTCTTACAACCAATATATTCATTCTATTTACAAAGAAACATATCAAATTTCAATTGTGGCCATTTTCCTTACATGATCAACTTATTCATACATTTATATTGTTTCTCAGTCCTTTATCACATCACACTTTAATATGGGAATCTCAGAAATATTTTTCTTCTTTTTCTTTATTTTATTTTATATTCAAAGATAGCAGATATCCTAAGAAGTCAGGCATTTGGCTTAGGAAATTTGGAGTAAAAGTAAAAATGAAACTCATATATATGCATAATTGTCCTATCTATTGATCTATAATAACCAAAACATAATGGTGTTGGTAAAACTTTTTATGGCCTAAGAATTGTTTTCATACAGATCTCTCTCTCTCTCTGTGTGCGAGAGAGAGAGAGACACACACACACACACATCTTTTTTGCTCATGGGTAAAATTAAAATACAATATTATGAATTTAGTTCAATACAGAGAGTATATAGATTTTTTTTACCCTCTTTTCCTGTATAAGTTTGACAGACCAAATTGCATTCCAGAATAAATTCTGCTATAGAAGTTTTTTAAAAGAAAGATAATTTTAATTAAAGAACCTCCTTTTTATGTCTATTTTATAATTTATACTACTACACATTTACTGTGACATTATTATCTACAGTACAGGTTATGGTCGTATGGCAAAACAATTAAATAAAACATGCCTTCTTTTCCGTGATGTAATTGTACATTGATTGACTGAACTTATTTTTCTTTTTATGTTATTTTTAAAAAATTATAACAAAGTTGAATTATGAAAAAATTTAAAAATCAGGTAATGCATGAGGAAAAGACATTATTTGTTGAAACATAAGTTTCATAGCGTATTCATAATTTTTTTTCTACTATGTAATAATAATATTCACCTTTCGGGGATTTAAAAGAGTGAGTGATTTCGTATTAATTTCATAACTCTTGATGAACTTTTATATATATTTTAAAAAAAAAAAATTAGGATTCATCAACATTCTTTTTTTATAGCGATCAGATACACATATGAAATGATACAGGCTATATAGCAGGTGCGGCCACGATACTCAAGCTGATTGGTTAAAACTGCACGTGCGGATAAATACATCCGTAGTAGATTCCTGAATTTCACCATGGCTATTCCAAATCAAGAGAATTGTAATCATGCTTTTCACAAAAAAATGTTTATTTTGCGAAATTTTGTTAATGAATAAAAGAAGGCTAATATAAAATAATTTTGGAACAGAAGCGACGAAGGAGAAAATTCGTTAGATACGCACAATTGGATGACAATAGGTAGTTATTATTTTTTGTTGCGTAATAGTACAATACTACATTTTTGTTGGGGTCATGTTCCTGTTTACCGTGGTCGTGTAGTGTGGGTGGCATGTTGGCCACTCAGGCAATGTCGTCTTTAAGGGGATTCACGAAAAACAAACTAACAGTTCTAATACTGATAAAAGGAAATATAACTAACTGGAATGTCTGTTTTAAAAATATCCCCCTTTATATCTAAAGACGACTGACACTCGAACAACCCCCACAACAAAAATACAAGACTGAAAAGAGGAGGAATATTAACAACATTTATTTAGTTAAAAGAAAACCAAAATTAAGCTTCTTAAATAAATCGTGAAACAACTTCTGGCCCAAGAATACGGAAAAAACTCTTCTCTATACATATTTTTCCATGGATCAGTATTATGTTGGGCAAATCAGTGGTTCTTCACTTGCTAGTACTGCTGCTCTGTTTAATTGTAACGACTGTCAGTGGTCGATTGTATCTATTTCAGAAAAATTGGGGGCCCCACGACGTCAAATATGGACATTTTTCAGAAAAGGAACGATTACGAATGTTACAGATGGTGAGAGAGATGTTCAATTTTGGTTATGACAGTTACATGAAATATGCCTTCCCCAAAGATGAATTGAACCCTCATACCTGTCGTGGTCGTGGACCGGACTATGACAATCCGTAAGTTTGATCAACTGTATCTTCAATATAAAGGAAATTCCCTTTTTTAATGAAATAACAACGCTTTTGTGAATTAATTAGAAAGAATTTTTAACCAATCCTAAAAAATAAAACGACATTCTTAGTTAGTCTCTTAAAGAAAGCAGACTAATCCATATTTCAAAACTTTATTTCTTATGAATCGTGTAACGATATATTTTTTTTTTTTTTTTGTTACAATGTTAATAATTCTAAGTAAATGGTAATTTTTGTATATTGGATATGCATTTATCTTTTTCTTTTTTTTTTCTTTTGTTAAGTATATTTTTAAAACATTTGTAAGACAAAAAATATTTTTAAATGTTTTATTTTGTATTATTAATTTACTTTTTTTTTTTCTTTTTCTTTTTTTAACTCTTACTCTTCCAACAAGAAAATAAATAGATTCTGATTTTTAAATTTAGCAAAATAGTTTGAAAATTGAAATTACAATGGTTATAATTACATTCACTTCACATATTGAAGAAAGAGTTTTTAAGCCAAAAGATTTCTGGAATAATGTTAAAAAACGTGTTTTCTTTTTAAAGGATAATAAAAACTATTTTAAAATGCTCCCGAAGAATTGAAAACTAACCTTTTTTTTCAATTGCACTCTGGACTAACCATTTTTTTTCTTAACTGATTGAAGTCCAAAAAATGATGACTAAGAAATTAAAATAAATACATTACTGGGAAAACATTTTTTTAGTTCTCAAATTTGAATCTTTTTTTTTTTTTTTTTTGGTTTCCCTAATTTCCTGGTTTAAAAGTTCCCTTGACTGAAAAACACATTTCCACTCTCGTTTTGAACACCAAGAAGCGTAACAAATTTTTCATTTTTGGTCTTTTTCTTTCCTTCAGTTTTCTATATGAAGTGAAATAAAAAAGATAAGCAGTCATATATTTTTTTTTTTTTTTAACCTTTTCATATTTACAGCATTCGAAAATTCAAGCATGTCCTTTTATTTATTTTTCAAAACTTAATTTGGTGTGAAAGAACCGAAAAATGAGTTTCAATTTTAGAATTTAAAAAAAAAAAAAAAAAAAGTGTGTTCACTAAAAATTAATCAAAAACTTACATGCAGTTTTATCGTTTTTTGTTTTAATGTTTGGTTCAATTCTGAAATTTACTTAAATTTCTGTTTGTTACTAGAGAGATTAAGCAATTGTTTGGGTGTGGGGAAATTTTTTGGATTTTCCGTCTTTTCGTGAAGTTGAAGTAAGGAGAAAATAAAAATAAAAAATTGCCAAATTTTATTTCTCTCAATGAAAATATCTTTGTATTTCCCGACAATTTTAGTTTAGTGACTATTTTAATTTTATTTATTGATAACTTTATTAAAATAGCCGAATGTATAGCAATATGACTACTACACTAATTTCTAATTAAAAATTTTAACTCTTGCTTTTGTTTTAAAATAAACCCTACCTACCACAATAAAAATTGATCATTATTGTATTTTTTTTTTTTATTAATTGTTAAGTTAATAAAAGAAAGCAATTTTCTCTTTCCTTAATTAAAGTCAGGCTATGCTTAATAAACAAAATCTAAGCCGTGAATTTTATTCAGCTTTTTTAAAATTTTACTTCTCCATTTAAAAAAAAATGTAATGCACAATGAAGCTATTTAAGCTTACAAATATGAAATATTAAATTTAATTTTTTTTTTATAGATTTTCTTTTGTACTTAGTGCAATGTAGCTAAATTTTCTTAACACTTTATAATTTTGTATCCTCCCTCCCACCTTTGCGAATCTTAATCTACGATTCCTGTTGTTAACAGTAACTGCATCGTTTTTATTTTATTTTTTTATTTTTTTTTTAATTTCAATTCCACAGACAATTGAAATGAAATGAAACCCTATGTAATCGGGTGTAGTAAATCATGAATTATCAGAACTCGGACATAAACAAAAATCCTTTGATTGTAATAAACATTTAAAAAAAAAAAACGCTCAGATTCCTTGGAAAGTCAACTTTTTTTTTTTAAATGTTAAACTCATGTAAAATTCAATGATTGCATTTACTGTTAGCTGTGTGAGTAAACTATGATTTTTCGTATGCCATGCGTGAAAAAAAAGTTGCTGATAAAGCTAAGCTTTAAGGTTTTGTATGCGTGGAAGGTTTCATGTACTCAAGTTGTGTAGTATGTGAATATCGTAAAATCGTGTGAACTATCGCCATCTGGTTTCTTCTTGAAAAAAGACTTTGTTGCTAATTTCAAAGCCAGTAATTCTGACATAGGTTACTTTAAAAATCTATTATTTTCTTGTGAAACAAGGTTTTCTTTTCTTCCTCTCGTTGGACGCCCTTTTGATAAGTAGACTAAAACGACTTGTAGCCGATTATTGAAAATTTCACTTGTACACGTGTCTTTTTGGCATTCCGACCTATTTTTTTTTTCTTCAATATGACGTTTGAAATAACTATGGTCCTTATTTATTTATTAGAATGAACATTTTCTTACTACCGCAAAACCACTTTAGAATTAATTAAAGTTAATATTCTTCCTTAATGTTGCAATAGCTGAAGAATTTATAATATTTCTTTTAAAGAAATCTAGTATTTGTTCGAATGACATCTTCATAAAATATCATCAACTAATAATTTTATTTTATGATTTAATTTTTTAGATTTTCTTTCATAATAAAAAAAAAATCATTCTTTCTTTATCAACTTGTACATATATTATTTTTTTTATTTTACTTTATTTTATAAGTATAAGAAAGGCCAAACTGAATATCTCCTGAGTCCTGCTCAATCTGTGGGAAGGAATACTTGACAATAAATGAAGCTAGTTGTTGGCATTTATTTGCAGCTGTTGAAAAATTTATCAGCAGCTGAAGACATTTTACAAAAACGTGCTGTAACTGCTACCGGAATATATTGACAAGGAGGAATTTTGATAAACTCTGAAAAAAAGCAAAGATAAAAAAGTAAAAACTGATTTAAAAAGTGCCCAAGAAATTGTAGATCTTTGCACAAATTATTAAACTTAATAGCACTGTTCTGTCATTATTTGCTTTATTTCTTAAACCAGTGACAGACCCTTATTTTCTAACGTTTAACTTTTATAACTCGGATTTCATTTGCTGTACAAAATGTTTATCCTGCCACTAAAAGTGACTGATCCCTGAACAATAGTATGTTTTAATTTCATAGATTGTTGTCATGTCTTGCTATGACAACAGAAAACAACTTTGAGTGAAATTAACAAGGATATTACAATTGAGAAGCATTGAAAAAGAATGCAATGGAAAGGGAAGTAATATTAATTATGCAGTATGCTAAAGGTTTAAGCACATGAATTTTGAGTAATACTCGAACTTTCATTTGGAATACAGAGGAAATGAGGATGATTTGACTTTGGAAGTACCAGGGCAGGTTCAAAGGTCTGATCTAGTGGAAATAAAGAATGGAGCTTACGTAAACATTTGCCTTGATAATAGCAATAGAGTAAGCAACAAGCTTCTAACATTGTCTGTGGAAAATAAGTCATGCAAACAATTTTGAACTCTATCAGAATTGATGAAAACAAGGCAAGAAATCGGCTGGTTGGTGACAAAATATAAATTTTGAACTTGTCCTGATGATCATGAATAAAGTTCTTTAAGACATTAGTGAATTTACTTAACCTTCTTACCTGAACAGAATAATGAAACTGTATTTGGACTTAAGTGATCTGTAAAGGATATTATTGTGAGCATGTCATTTAATTATTTGCATTCAAAATGTTATGACATTTCAATTATTGTGCCCTCTAGTTTTCTTCAGGTGTCTATCAATCCTGGTAACCTTCAGGGAATTTCAAACTGAATCTTTTATTTAATCTATGGGGGTAGATTCTTGTTCTTCTTTCACTGTCCATGTCTAGAGATATCAGTTATTGTTTGCTCTATTTCCAATGATAAAATATTGGTTTTACAAGAATTATATAATTCCTAGTTGAAATCTAATACTACCCCCTTGAAAAAAAAATTTTTTTTCTTCAAAAGCTTGACACATAGTTGAATTCAGGATTTAAATTTTGCTAAATCATAGATTTTTTGTCTCTTATCTTTCGCTCATTAAAAAAAAACAACTTTCTTCATTGCTAACTTAAACGATCCATAGAAAATGATTTTTCTTTAAAATTCAGACTGGGTATTTTTTTTTTTTTTTTTTTTTAGAAATCTCTGAAAAACAACACAATTTTGTCTTTGTCTCAGCAATATCATTGTCAACAATTTAAGGATGTAATTATTTTATCAGATGTAAAGGGATTAATTTAAAAATACTTTTGTAAAGACTCGTACTGAGAAAGTTAATCTTTCATAACCTATATTATCGCCAATATGTTCTTTTTGTTAATATATGAATATCATAAGTAAACTTACAGGAAAATGTCCAATATTTCTACAATTTTTATTTTATCACATTGTTTATCGAAAAATATTCCTAAACAGCATCTAGAATTTCCATCCACGTTCGTCTATTGGTGGAATAAGTTGTGCAAAATCCCACAGAGGAATAACTTGATCAGATGTTTAGTTTATTACATTTCAGAAATCTTAGCCATACTGACACATTTGATTGTGTTTCTCTAGTGTTTTTTTTTTTTTTTTTTTTTTTTTGACTACCAATAAAATCTTAATCACCAGCAAAAGTTTCTCATATTTATTCAAGTTTTTTATTTGTGCTGTGTACTTTCAGGACGTGGATGATCATGGCTCTCCACGACTTCCTGTTATTTGTAGCCCTTAGTAAAGTCTTTTTTGCTATATCTCCTAATCCCTCTTTTGTCAACCATTTATCTAAGCTCATTAGGTAGGTTATATGCTACTTTCCTCTGTCACTTTTGCCTTCAAGATGTCCTGTGATTGTCATAGTTCCCAATCCCTCCTTCCTTATTACCTCTCCTAGAAATTTCAACTCTGATGCTATGTATAAATGTCCTTTTTGTTTCCATTTTCTCTAAAACTTACTTGTTGATTACCTGTTCAGTCCATGGTATTCTCAAGATGCTTCTGTAGAATCACAATTCTATTGCCATATGTCTCTTCTCCATCTGTAATGTTACTGTCCAGTATTCCCTGCCGTATAGGTGAACTGATACTACATAAGAGTTCATTATTCTTTTCTTTATTTGTAATGAAATTTTCTTGTTTCTTAATACTGTATTTACATTTTGGAAGGCATTTTTCAGTATACCAATATACCTTTGGATTTGTTACAATTTGTTCTCTATTAAAAAAAAACCCAAAAAACTTTGTAGATATTTAAATTTTTGCACTTGTTTAATTTTGGTATCTCCAATTTGTAATTCTTATGTTGGGTTGTTTTTGTTAACAGCCATACATTCTATCTTAAAGCTGATGTTTAGACCTTTCATCTCATTTTCCTTTACTAACTTCTGTAGAATTTCCTTTCTGTGTTTGCTATCAATACTGTCTTCATATCTAATGATAGGATTGTGACCACAAATAATGAAATTTGGTAGGATTTCTAATTCTCTCAGGATTGCTTCACTGTAAAGGTTGAATAAGTCCAGTGGGAAGACACACCCTTATTTTATGGCTCTTTCTATTTTTGTGTATTTAGTGAATGAATTTTCTATTCTCATGCAAACAGTTTTGGCCCTCAGTATATTATTCTAATATCCTTCCCAAATAAATCAAGCTTACCTAACAGTTCCAATAGTTCTTTGTGACATACCTTATTAAACACTTTTGCATAATCTATTAAACATTTTATATTGCTCTTTCTGATATCATTCCAAGTATAAATATCACATTACTTGTTCCAGTGTCTTTCCTCTTTGAAAATTGGTGTAGACTTCTATAATAATTTAACCCTTCAGAAGAAAGCCTCCCAAAATTTGTGGTTTTAGGACAAAATATTTTTTATTAAACAGGATTAATGCTTTTAGATAATTTTTTTTAAAGATTTATTACAATAATGAGTATAAACTATTTCAGGAGTTATTTTTCACCTGGTTAATATCTTCTGAACAAATATTGGGTTGGCTAAAAAGTTTTTGTTTTATTATAAGATGAATTTTGACAGCCTGCATTTTAGCTGAGACAAGAAGGCATCATTTTTTCTTTTCTTTTTTTTTTTTAATAATCTAGATGGAGCTGGATAGGAATTGTTATTTTTTTTTTTGTTTTTTTTTTTTTTTTTTTTTTTTTTTTTTAAATAATAAAAGTTTTTAATTACTATAACTGCTATTAAAAAAAATATGCAAAAGAAATAATTTAAGTTTAGCAAAAACATGGACTTGAAGATTCTCACTCATATTAAGAAAATATGCCTTTTTCTGTGTGTATCATTTTCAATGGTGTATTCACTAAGTTAGCATTGAATGAGGGTTTTTTCAAGTTTTATGAGTGAAAGGTAAGGGATGGATCTATAATTGAGCAAAGTATAAATCCTGAATTCAACTGTGTACATTACTTGCTAAGCTTTTGAAATAGGTCTAAAAAAAAAATTTCCCCATTTTTAGCAGCCCATAACTATAAAACTGTTGGAAATAAAATAAAAAGCATGGATGTTTTCTCTATATATTAGACTATAGGACTACCAAATATCAACCCTGGAAATTTGGAAAATCGTGATGTTTTAAAATTGGCAGAAACTGACAACAAATTTCAAGAGGGCATAACTCATGAACTAAGTTTAAGGAAGCTAAAATTTTAGGGTTTTTAGTTTCACATGGGTGGGTACAATATACTAAATTTTCATGAAAATTTGCGATAGTGCCCATGGAACTATTGGTTGAGTTGATATGGAATTATGCACACATGCTCACACTCTCTGAAATTATGCAAATCAATATTTTCACAATAAAATTGGTAATAACTAACCAATATGAATGAAATTTTCATATGAACAATGTCGTGTGAATTTCAGCTCATCTATCCTTATTAAAAATACTGATAACTTGTTTTGTAGGTATTGGGTTTTGTTATACAAAAAGTACAAATTTAATTTTCTAAATAAATCAGCAGACATCCCCACTCCCGTTTTAACAATTTTTTTTTTTTTTTTTTTAACTCTTTATTGCTTACTATCAAGAGACATTTTTTAATATTGTTTTTCTTTTTTCATATACATCTGTTTGAGTGTTGGACAATAAGTTTTCTATTGAATTAATATCTGGAGAAGCTGAGGTTTATTCCATTAGTTTGTTGTTGAAACATATTTTGGTAAGGTGACCAGCTTTGCAGAAAGCTTTTTTTTTTTTTTTTTGTATTAGATTTTAATTTAAAAGTTCCTGGTTGTGATCCATTCCACTCAAGGAGATATTTTTAATGCCTCCAGTACTAGAAGACACTGCCCAATCCCCAATACCTACTGTTGTGAATTGGCTATTTTCCTACAACTCCATAGGAGGCATCCAATGTAACTCTATAATCATAAGAAAAAAAATATTAAGAAACATGTATTTTCATGTATTTCCTTATCTTTCTTTTTTTGTGATATTTATATAAAGCTAATAGGTTATTCTGCATCTTTTCCCCTTAATTGCAACATCAGCTTCAAATATTTTCTTTATGGTCACTACATTTTTGCTTATTGCTCTTTGAGCATTTTTTTTTTTTTTTTTTTTTTTTTTTGTGACATTCATAAAGCCAGTTCTTTTGTTATTTTGCCAATGTTTTCAGTTGCTTTTGTCATTGTACTATGATCACTATTCAAATTTTTGTAATTTCCTACATTGTGTTAACATCATTCAATAATAACTTTACAATAGCTTGTTTCTCTTGATTTTTTTTTTTTTTTTTTTTTTACAACTGACAGCAGTCAATTATATATCTGAAATATCACTATATATTTATTTACAATTGGGACAATCCTTCAGTTGTATATCTGACACCACCAAATAAATTATAAATAGATTTAAAAAAATTTTTTTTTTTTTTGTCCATCTGATAATATATTTCTAGCTTATTTGGTGGTGTGAGATTTTTACACAACTACAGGATTGTTTCTATTGTGAAAGATTTTGGTGCTATAATCTGAATTAAGAAATGATTTAATTTAATCTCTCTTGTTTTGCAGATCTAATATCAACATAAATGATGTATTAGGAGACTATGCTTTGACACTTGTTGATTCTTTGGACACACTTGCTGTGAGTATTTGTCATTTTCTTTTATGAAGCAAGATAGGTATTTGGTTCATGTCTTTCAAAATATGAATTTCATCTGGTATTGATAACTTCTATTGCAACTTAAATTTTTGACAGTCTTAATCTAGTTCAGTCATAGGCAAACTGTGGCCTGATTGGCTTTCTGAATGGTGCACTTAATTTCACGAGGAAAATAAAGTTTATTAAAATGTTTCCTTTCATTCTCACTTGTGCACTCACATACTCCCATGCATAACCACATACAATGATTAAATACAATGTTTCTCTTGAATTTTATAACTTTCTGTTGAGGGTAATACTTTCAGCATTTTAAACCATTGGTGATTTTCAATAAGGAAGATCATACACGTAAACACCTTTTGCTTCAGAAACAGGAAGAATCAATGATAATTGTTTCTCTAGAGAATAAACATGCTGCTTCTTATACAAATATTTTTTGTATTTTCAAATGAATAAATTAGAAACACATGCAGCAGTATGTCCTAATGACTATCATCAGTAATAATATACAAAGATTTTAGTTTTTTAATTATAGAAGGAATTTTTCTCCAGATCTACTCCCCGCCATTTCTAAGACAGATTCTTATGTGCATGTTCTTTTTTGTAAAATGGCTGCAGTGCAGCCTGCCTTATGTTGTACTATACCTCATGTGGCACATTTTGAAAATGGCTGTGCATTCCCAGTCTAGTTGAGTGAAGATTTAATACAAAAATGATCAGTTTTTATAAAGGCAGAAAATGTAAAAATGGCTTATAAGTTTTTCATAAATGTGCAGAAACTCTCTTTAAAGTTTTTAATGAGGAAATTATTGATTTGAAATTTAAAAGAAAAATGTATGTGCCTTTTGATAAAGGTAATATCACTGGCATGCCACGAATAGTTGATGAAAAAAAATTTAGTCAGATTTTTCCTTTCTGATCATTTCGCATTAATCATAGATAACCCAAACTGCCCCGCTTTACACTGAAAATGTGTCAAAATAGGGAAAATATCTTCAATTTCAGCTGTTAATCTTTCTTTTTTGCAGACATAAAATTCTTTCTTGTGCATAATGATTAATTTTCATTCCACATCTCTTTAAATTGTCACTATTTTGATGACAGCTACTGCTTTTTCCAGATTTATAAAATTGACAATTTCTTAGTGTTTTCAAACTTTCTTCACTCAGTTGTCATCCTACACATATCAACATAGTCCAATCTTAAGGCTCTCCCCAATTTGGTGGGCTTTAAGATAAGGTTTGAAGTTGTCATTCACAAAAAATTTCTAAGTTGAAATCTTTGGATGATATGCAAGAGAAATTCAACTCTTTTTTTTTTTTTTTTTTTAAATAATTTGTTGGTTTCATATCTCTATGTGCATGGCAATCAAAAAGTGGGTATACTGGTTTCATTCGTGCAAAATCATTGGGTCTTATGCATCGGAACTTGTATTACTTATCAAGTGAATAAACATTGTCAGCTAAATCCGATTTTAAATCAGACTTGTTTCATCGCTGTATATTACAGTTTAATTCTTTTTCTTATATTTTCTTTAATGATGCATTTTAAAACTGTAAAGTACTTATTGTATTTTGTCCAAACTAATCACACTCAAATCACTTCACCTCAAATGTTTTTATGCTTTTCTTAGAAAAAGAAAAAAATTCATATTCTAAAATAAATAAATTATATATATTTTTTTTTTGGTTTTTTTTTTTCTAGTGCTTTAAATTTTGCAAACTCACACTTGAAAAAAAATTTGTCCAGTTTTCCTTTTTAATGGTCATTCATTTCCATTTGTGGCTGGCAATATTTTTCCTAATTCTTAGGATTTGGATTAAATTGAAAAGGTTTTACATTTTCTTTTTAAAAGAATAAAAAATGTCTCTGGATATGTTTATAAAAAAAAAATGAGTACATTTTATAGTAACAACTTTTGCAAACATGCATTGTTTTTTATTAAGCTATTATGGGAAATAATAAGCAGAACATCTGTTTTTAAGTGGACATCTGTTTATTTTTTTACTAGTACTTTCTATAAAATTTATATTTAATCTTGTTTTCAGTAGATGATGACCTCCACATCCTGATAAGTAGTAATTTATGCTTATAGTTAGTGATGAATGGAATAGATATTATTTTTGAAACTTCATCTCTACATCTAAAAGAACAAAGAAAAGAAAAGGCAATCAGTGAATCTGAGTATTCAAATAACTTTTGTGATGAAGAACCACTTCAAATGCCCTTTACTTATGAGCATCAATGCCATTGGGTTGCAGTATGCTATTATGCCAACTTGTACAATGACTAAATCATTCATATTACATCTGTCCAGTGTTGTAATCAAATTTAGTTCAGACCGAAGGCTAAATTGGTTATTTATGATAGTGTTTGTTAGATGATATTGTAAGTGGCATCATGTCCTTAGTGTTTCTTATGCAAGCTTTTACCAGATATGCTGCTTTGTTTACTCCATGCATCTTTCTATGAGAAATAACTTTTAAAAGTATTCACAAGTAACATAGGGCTGAAATTATAACTGACATATTTCTAGTTTAAGTGCAAACTGAATATTCTTAACCTAGTTTGTTGCTACTGAGCAGTTAAGAATTTTTAGTAGGAATAAAAGTGTTGAGATGCTATTAATGTATTTAACAATACATTGTTTTATTTATTTGATCTTTGCAGTTCCACTAACACATTGTCTGTTGAGTTATAATGAGCAGAAGCCACTTATTCTATAACTTTCAATTTCTATATTACCAGATTATGGGTAACAACACAGAGTTCCAACGTGCTGTCAAATTGGTTGTGGAAAGTGTCTCTTTTGATAAAAACAATACTGTACAAGTGTTTGAAGCTACCATAAGGTAAGTTCAGTAGTTGTGCAAAGGGAACTCCTATAAATAGATTTATCAAAGTTTAATAATTTTAAAGTATACTTTTTAACCATAATCTGGGATGAGGTCAATATTTTGAATTTCTTTAAAATTACGTATTTAAGCCAAGGTGGTCCATAACGCAGACCTGGCAACCATGCAACTGAGGTTCACGACTAGTGGGTGTGGTGGCAGACATATGAAGACCTAATTTACTGCTAAATAACAATTTTAGAGAATATTTTTAGCAAGGAATTAGTAATGTCCAGTACTTAGTTAATTAGCAATTATATGTAATATTAGAAGTGGCTTACAAATATACAAAGAAAGAACAAAAATACCCTCTTCTACTATAAAATAACTAAATGCATAAAAATCACTTTATTTGCCATAAATTAGATATTTTTAGATGATATTGCAAAAATAATGCGTCAATTTGTTTATACCAATTGATTACAAAAAATATAAAATTGTATAATACAATCAGAAAGCAATTTCATCTTACAAACTTGTGTATCAACGAAGTCTGAAAATACTTTACAAAAAATGTGAATTTCAAGGAAACAATTTTAATAATCTTTACAAAATTTGTGATTTCTGTTACATGTACCATTTGTTTCACAGAAGATGGAGAAAAAACTTATTTTTCTATGATACAATAATAGATATTACCAGTATACATAGTTTTAATAACTAAAATCAATTTACATTAACAAGAACACAAAATTAACAGGATAATTTGGGGAGTTAACCAATTCAATATATGCAGGGGGGTGAATTGAAAATAAAAAAAAATATCTTATTATTATATTATATGAATAAGTATGTACATATTTTTACTACTTGAAAATAATATGAATGTTTAATACTGATTGTGTAGTCTTAGAGAATTGTATAAACATTTTTATCTTATAAATAACAATTTAAGATAATTTCAAAACTTTTAGTGCCAGTTCTTGAGTTGTCTTAGGTGAATCAAACAGTAATTTTTGAAAAATATATTTGACAATATAATTCCATGCTCTCTTTTCATATTGAAATGATACCTATCAGAAACTAAAAAAGATTTTTGTCAAAGAAATTCTGCAAGTCTTCAATTTAACAACACCAAATATTATAAAACAGAAAATGCCCACTTAACTGTGGTATCCAATGGAAATTTTAAATTACCACAATCTATTTCTTTCAAAAAATATCCATATTCTTGAAAAGAAAAAATAGTACTATTAAATATTTCCTCTTCTGTGGGACAATCTTTTCTTGTAACATAACATGCTATATACAAAAGTGACGTTTTAATATCTTTAGGGATCCTAGTTTCAAGGTCTGGTAAGTTATCAAATGTTTGCCATCCCATTTCATTCAGCAAATGTCCACATTTTGAGCAATTATGGGCTGGATCAAAGTTGTATTCTTTGACATTAACATTTAAGCAGTTATTTAGGGTTTTTTTTTTTTTTTTTTGTTTTCTTCAGTAACATTTGGAACTGTTATAAAATATGTACCTCCAGGACTTTGTCTTAATTTTCCAAACTGATTTTCTTTTAGTCTGTGGTAAATTCACCAACCATAACAAAATTAAAACCACTGTTCAGCAAACCTTCACATTTAAGCCATTAATTGAGGTATGGCCTTTAACCATTATTCTCACTCATTCTGGTCTTGGGTTAAGACGAAATACACAAACCTTATTTTGGTCATCATAGTTACCATGACAACCTGTTACACAGCACTTTTTGACTATTTTGAGAAAGGTTTAGAGTACTGAAATTAAAAAAAATACTATTTTTTTTTTTTTTTTTTTAATTATGTGGTGCTTCTAAAAAGCATATGAAACTTATATTCTAAGGTCTTAGAGAGCTTAGACTTCAGAATTTAAAGTTTGTATGATTAATCACATCCTCCCCTATAAAATATGATTATCTAAACAAAATTAGCCAGTTAAATGTTTTTACAGTAAAAATTTTAAACGGGCTAATAATTTTGTTTTACATTTTTAACTACAATACTAGTAAAATTCAACATTTTTTTTTTTTTTTTTTTTTTTTTTTTTTCTTAATACCTGTAAATAATTATTTTTTAATTTTTAAGTCAATATATTTATGATGAATAATGTCATAGACAAAATGTTACATTAAATTTTTATTCAATTTTCAAATGGGCAAATTTCTGTTTAAGAAAATTAGCAGTGCAAAAAAAAAAATTATTTTTATTTTTTTTCTCCATACAAGATGGTATCAACATACTTCACATGTTATAAAGAAAAGAAATTATTCATTAAAAAATGAATTTTATGATCAAAATATTCGTCATTATAAAGAATAATAGTATAAAGAAAAAATTGAAATTAACTTTGTGTCAATTCTTAATGACATTTTTTTGCAAATTTCACTGTTTAAAATAATTGCAAAAAAATAAAACAGACAATATTGACAAGACAATATTGTCTCTCTTACATTTTTGTGGTATATTTTTAAGAATTGTAAAATATTAAATTTATTATTGAATTTAATTTTTGACATTAACTTTGTGATACATTCTTTAATAAGTCATTTTTCATTAATTTTGCAGTGAACAACATTACATTTTTATTTTTTAATGTCTTTATTTACAAAGATCAAAAAAAAATTCAACATTTTTTTTTAAAAAAATATTATGTTAAAGAAAAACAAATTATTCCTCAAAAATTAATTTTATACTTAATATAGTCATTGTTGTCATTAAATTCTACAAAAATTCAGCTTGGTAGACTTGGTAAAGTTAAACTGGAAAACGCATTGCACAAATATTATTGGTGAAGAAATGGAAGAATACTAAGGCTACAATTGACTGGTTTTGTCTTTTTCCAGTCTAATGAGGAGGAACTTTGACAAAAGAATATTAGTTTGATTGGCACATTAGAATTTTCAAGCAGTGTTTCAAGTCAGTGTTTTACTATATATAACACTGGTCAACAACAAAAAATTTTGAAATGGTGAGACACCAAATATCTTTTTTAGCTAATTTGAGGGCACTGAATCTGAAAATGACCTTACTTTTTCTTGATTAGCTACGGTTTTTGCTATTCAGAAATGCCTCATTTTTGGAAAAAAGCATTTTTTCATTTTTCTGTATATATGATATTGACTGCTGGCGATATTTCTCAAAATAAAATTTTAAAAACCTCTCAATTTGTATTTAAACCAACAAATATTGATCTGCTTATTTTTGCAATAAAAATCAGACCCTAAGTCTTTAAAAATAACACAATTGAATATACTAAGACCAATAAGTATTTTCATCAAATCATTTAATGAACTAACAGCAGAAATAAAACCTTTGTGAGCATAAGAACTATAGTAAAAACATTTTTTCTTTCTTGATTGTCTTTCATGTTCAATGTTATTGATACTCAGCAGTATCATGTACACTGGAATAGGTGCATTCAATTGGAATGTTTTTAGTTAGTTTCTTTGAACCTGTGAAAACAAGATGCTCTCAATATGCTTGGTTTCCTTCCATATTGAAGGGATAAATTTATGAATATCGAACAAGATTTTAGGATTTCATTTTTTTTTTTTTTTTTTTTTTTTGTCACCTTAATTATCAGGTTTACTAAAGTGTATTACTGATAAACTTTATCAGTTAATTTGAATTTTGGGAATAAATTAGAAAAATTCGGTACTTCTATTTTAAAATTTTTGACACAAAAACAATATTTCTTATAAAAATAGTTTTTCAGGTGGCTGACATAAATTGCTTGTCCTACCTGAAAATCGGTGGGTTTCTACGACCTTTATTAACTAAATTTTGTGATCAGCCAAGATCATAAATTGATCTTTTTTTCCAAAAACGAGCAATTTCTGTACAGCAAAAATGGTAGCTAACCATGAAAAACTAAATTCATTTTTGGAATCCGCACCATCAAATTAGCTAAAATACATGTTTTGTTTCTTGGCACTAAAAATTGTTGATCAGTGTAATGAAAGGTGAGCATGGATGCTTTGGTGTTGCTATGAAGGTGCAAATTGTTTAGAATTTGTTCCTAGAGTTGAGTGAATTTTAGGACAAAGATACAGGATTTTATTTGGATAACTGACATCTTCAGTGGGTGTTATGATAGGATAGTATCAGAATGAAAGTTGTAGATCTTTTCAAGGTGTTAGGCTTCAGTATCCAAATCGAAAAACTTGAAGTGGTTGAATTTATTGAATGTTACTTCAGTATATGTGGTGAAATTTACTGGCTGTTCAGAAAGTCAACAACCTGTGTTAATTAGACACCTTCAATCACCCACTTCTCATTTATATGCAGGCCAAAAATCAGTGGGTGATAGGCTGCCAGTGTACTCTTATAATTTCATGTTTTTGAACAAGGAAGTTATTCCATCTTAAATCTAAAATGTTTTGTGGCAATTTTTAACATTGACTAGATTTTTCTTGTTAAAAAGTTGGATATGCTTAGTTTGTAATGTACGTAAATGTTGGTAGAAAAAAGCAAATGCTGATAAAATTAATCTAAAAATATTTTCTGGTTTTAAATAACCTGGAAAGGGTTTATAAGCTGTAGAAAACAAACCAACCAAACCTGAATGCAACAGCATTGAAACAATAATTCTCAACTAGATGCAATGGATAGGACATGAGAGAATGAGTGATAACATTATTCCCAAACAACTTGTCTACAGGGAACTGAAAACAGAAAAGCATCCTTGGCACAAGCCTGGAAAGAAGTTTGGAGGGTAATCTGAATGCATTGCACATGGATGTGCAGCATTGGGAAGAATTGATTTTATATCTTACACAGTGGAAGCACTTAATAAGGGAGGGATGCAATGCCTTTGTGGATGAATGTCTCACGCATGATCAGATCAAACGTGATCTATGAAGAGGCACCCATTCTGATTTGCCAACTAATGTGTAGTCTTGGAAATGTCAGTGTATGTGTGGCTGTCGAGGGCAGGTTATTTAAACCATCTGAAAGGTCATAACTAGAAGCAAGCCAATACATGTTTGCAAAGAGGTTTACAGATCATCATCTGGACTGGGAAGACAGGCAGATTCATTCAACCCAATCAAGGATATAGTTTCTGTCATGTATGCATGATACATATGAAATTGAATATTGATCTCGAGGCACCTTAGGGGCCATGGACAAAATTGGCCGAAACAAGACTGAAACCATTCTAATCTGAGTAAGATGTGGTAATCACTCATCCACATACACACCTATCAAAATACATAAAAAATTATAGAATTTAACATTTTTAAGGCTAACAAATATTTTTTCCAAAATGTCCTCAATAGATAAATAGTATGACAATGGCCTATAAATTATCAAAATGTTCAAAGATTCAGATAAGTTCTTTGAACATTACTAATTAATTCACACACACATACACACACAAGTGTGTGTCTGTGACAACCTGTAATAGTTTTGGCCACGTTTCATCCATTAGAATTTTGTTAAACTAGGCTTTGTTAGAGGTCACATGTGCATAAAACAAAACACACAAGCAGTTTCAAAATGTTTTGAAAGAATTTTTTTTTTTTTTTTCAATCTAACCAAATTCATCTGTATTCTTTTTCTTTCCATCACCTTTAAATTCCTCCAAGTTTTGGCTGGTGTTTTGTTTTTTATTGATTAAGTCTTTGTTTTAGATGTAGTTGTGACAAATTTTATGTTGAGTTTAGATAAATTCTTTTGGGTTGTAGTTCTAATAGTTAGTGGGTAGAATATATTTTTTTTTGATTCGTTAGGTTTTTCAGGAAGGACAACTCTTCTATTTTGGAATATTTTATGAGCCTTTTGTTTCACAATGAAAATGAAATAGGGTATTGAAGGATCTTGAATGTATTTTCAATATATTTAACCTCTTTGTTTAAATATTGAGGGCTGCAACTTCTGAGTGCTCTTAAATAGAATACAATGATCATTCTGGATTTTGTTTTGTTATGATGGGAATAGAAGTTTGTCATTTTTATTGGTTGATTTTTGGTGGATACTACATTCTAGGCTACTGTCAACTCTGTGTAACATGATGTCTAAGAAAGGTAAAGTATTTTTTTTTTCTATTTTGTGTGAATTCTATTGTGTGTTCAGTTTAATTTATCTACAAGATCTGTAAGTTAGTATCACAGGGATATATTAATAGAGTATCATCAATATATCAAGAAATTTCATTGTTTAGGTAAAATGTTTTGGAAAGAAGTAAATTCCAAGAAAATACATGCTATTACTTCACTGAGAGGGGATCCCATCGGTAATCCAAATTTAGTTTGTAAAAATTGTTATTGAAAGTGAAATAACATTGATTGGTGATGAAACACCAGATTTTTATTATTTTAGATATTGGTAGGTGTGTGTGTGTGTGTGTGTGTGTGTGTGTGTTTTTTTTTTTTTAGAGATTTAAGCATTTTTCAATTGGAATGTTAATGTAAAGTGATTTTATATCTAGACTGACCATGAGTTTGTCAGTCATATTTATTTTCCTTGGTTTTTCAACAAGGTTGCCTGAATTTTTTTTAAATGTGTTGGAATTATTGTTCCAAGGAGAAGGGTTAATATTTTTGCTATGGCTCTAGCTATTTAGGGGGAGGGGGGCACTGCCTATTTGAGAAATGATGGCGCATATAGGTATATCAGTTTTTGGGATTTTAGGGAGACCATAAAGTTTTGGTGTTCTAGGGTGATATTCAATGAGTCTATACCATGATTTATTTTCATTTTTTTTTTAATCAGTTTCCTAATTTCTTTGAATTTTTGTTTCAGTAGTTATTTCTTTATTATTCATGTGCATGTGTAGACATGGCAACTTCAACAAAGCCTAGTCTGATGAAATCCTAATGAATGAAACTCATCCAAAAACTTTTCCAGTTTGTCATATTTTTCTAAATATTGTTTGTTGGTATATAAAAATTATACAAAATTATATATTGTTATATCGTGTGTGTGTAGAGTGTGGATAATAAGATTTGGTAATGTTTTGCATGGCCTTATTAATAGTGATAATAGGAATATGTTTGAACATGTATATCGCAGCAGCAGTAGTTGTATATAAGATCCTGTTCAAACACACTTTGTATCAGTTTTCTGTTTGGCACCATTGATTAATAGCATTTGTTATAAGTACTGTTTTTTACATAAGAGTAAGTGGTGATGGAATTTGTAGCACCAGAAGATTAATTACTAATTGAAATTCAGACATGAAAGCAATGTAACCTTGCAAGCACTTAAAGCATCTGCAAAACAATCTCTGAAAGAATGTTGCTGTTTTTTTGTTTTTTTTTTTTTTGTTTTTTTTTTTCATCACAACACATGGTTATATTGCAATCAATAAATGCTGTGAAGCCTAAAATTAATGGTTGTTACACACTATCATACAACTCTATTTTGGGACCATCACACTTGTTCTTCCTGCAACTGAAAGGAGCACTGAAAAGGCATTTTTAACTGCTCTTGAAGTTGTTGTATACAATTGGATTAGAAGTAAACCAGGAACTTTTTTTATTGATAAAATGACAAAAATGGAATGTTTGAAATAATGTGCAGTACTAAATGGTGTTATTGAAAAATAAAATTGTAATTTTGAAGAGATTTTGATAGAATAATAAAAATTGCTATCTGGTCTATTAAAAAATTATAAGACTGGAAACATTAATTATTTATCAACCACTGTATATGGGATCTGTCTATAAACTATCCAGCTATATTGAATATCTCAGTAACCTGTTGTATAGTTGTGATGTAACTTGGTAACTAATCAAGTATGAACTTACAGTACATATGTAAACAGATACCACCTTGTGGGTTTATTTTGTTGGTGTTAAGTTGATTTTGAGTGAACCTGTGTATTGTATTACTATTTCCTTAACAGCAAATATGTATCCAATGTTGCTTGGATGTCCATCTGCAGAAAATATTTTAGTGGTTAAGAAAGTTTTCGGGGACAATTCAGAGAGCAAAGCCCAAAGGAAATTTTGGTATTGATGCTTCAAATTTGGCCAGGAATCTGTTGAAGCTGGTCTATTCTGAATGGCCTTCAACAAGTATTGAATGTGTATGGGCTTCAGTAAAAAGAAATTGGCAATTAACAATGAGAATTAGAACATATTGACTGCTTTTTCTTCACAACTTATGCAGGGTTTTTTGGCAAAATATTACACCATCCATATCTGTTAGGAACTCTTCTCCAGTTCAGATTTGGTTCCTGTAACTTCTACTTTACCCAAAGCTAAAATTGCTGGTGGGGAGATTTAAAGCCATAGAAAACGATGAGGCAGCTGATGGTAATTCCTAACAAGGAATTTGAGAACTGCTTTGAAAAGTAGAAGAGATGCTGGAGTAAGTGTGTGATGTCCCAAGAGAAAAACTTTGAAGAGGACTAAGGCAGCATTAACTTTGTTGGTAACCTTTTGTTAATGTTAAATGGTTGGATCATCACAGACACAACTTTATAGGTCTGCTTGGTGACAATGTTATTAGTCTGGCACAAGGCTAAATGTGGCAGGATGGAAAAGAGAAAGAAAATTGTGTTGGAAGCATTTGGAACTTGGGTTTCTGGTGTAAATATTTTTGAATTATAAAACTTTTTTTCTGTGAAAAATATACTCTAGAATTAGGAGCAGGGGTTTATGACACCTTGAATTTTTCCTCTTAAGTCAATAAGACACTTATCCCACATCCAGGCAACTTCATTGGAAGTTACTTACTATTTTAACAGCTAAAATATGAACATAAAGAATGAGAACAGAATTCTGGTTGACTCTTGGAATAGCTTACTAACCAATGTTCCATGGCAAAGAAAACTTAATTTGGTCTAGCACAAGACTTCAAGTGTCTTACCCAACAAAAAAAAAAAATTTTTCTTTTAAGTCTGTCCACCATACAACAATACTAACTTGTTAACTATCATTCTTATGCCAAGTAACCTTTATAAAATCCCTTTTTTCTTAGGGTTCTGGGAGCTTTGCTGTCTGCTCACTTGATCATAACTGACCCCTTGCAGCCATTTGGAGACATGCGGATGGATGACTACCAGGATGAACTTCTTCATCTTTCTCACGATCTTGCATCCCGTCTTTTGCCAGCATTTGAGGATACAATGACTGGAATTCCTTACCCACGAGTGAGAATCTTGCATTTGATTTCCTTTTTTGCTTCAAATAACAGCAGATTATTTTTTATTTGCTTTAATGAAAATATTGAAATGGTTACACATTTCATTATCTGTTTAAACTTTTTTTTTTTTCTCCACTAAAAATTATTTCTTTTAAATTTTACTTTATATTGCTTATGTTTGCTAACTGAAATAACCTTCATTATTGATGAGTTTTGTATTCTACAGGTGGTCTTTCAAATTGATTTAGCAAAGAACAGTCAGTCAGTGGCAGTAAAGTTTACAGTGAAAATATACATGGATGCAATTATAAAACAGCAAATTAAAAGACTAGCAGAAAATATCTTTAATTAGGTGCTGAATAATGATCTTCGTTTTAGAACATACATTTTTAATTTTTATAATTTATTTTTTAAAGTATCCATAATAGTAAAAATAGTAATAAAAAATATTTAAGTAAATGTTATGGAGTTAGCATATGTGCAAGTATTGGTGATATAAAGCCAATTTTTTTCTTGTCTCTGAATTTGGTAAAATATGATAAAAAAAAAATTTGTCACTTTATACATTCCTTATATAAGGATTTGTATATTCTGGTTTTGACTGATATTGATCACATTTTATGTATGTGTAACTGCATGTAATCAATCTGTACATTACCTGACTAAATATCAGCCAAAAGATATACACCACATTAAATCTACTAATTGCCATTTAATGCAATTTGAAATTTACCCTATTTGTAATGTTCAATAAATTCTCAACAGTTAAATAAATCCTTTAATATCTGTCTATATTCCTGAGATGTGGTATTGTAATTATTTACACTATTTACATTGTTCAGACTGTTGTCCTCATCTTTGTTGCCATATTCACAATGTTTTGGCCATTGTACATGCCAGCCTTCTTCATACTAGAACACTCTACCCCAGTGGATGAAATAATGGGTTCAGTTTGAAATTCCAATCACCTGAAGAAGGCTGGAGCATACAACAGCCAAAAAATATTGAATATGGCAACAAAGGTGAAGACAATAATCCAAACAGTATAAATAGGGTAAATAAATAAACCCTGTTTGTTTTTTGTTTTTTTTTCCTGACACATTCTAGTGGCAAACCCTTCATGCCAGCATGCCATCTGAATAAAATGTTTTAACCTATTTTCCTAACTTTTGCACATGAACAGAACTGAGAGTTGGGACCTCACAAGAAAAATGAAAAGTGGAATTAATGCCACACTGAGAAATGAAGAAGCAAATCCTGTTTCCAATCTATTTGGTTGTTTATTCAGGAATTTACATATGCGGTCTAGGAGGTAGGTAGTTGATTCTGCTATTTTCTGTCATGACAGACTAACGGATCAGCTCTTCCCTTCAACTATCAAGAACTTTGATAGTCTCCTACCACCACTCTGCTCATCTCTACATCATGATGCATGGTTTAACAGGTGTCCCAGAAATCTTTCTGATGGGCAGCCTGTACCCTACCAACAGACTGTCAGAACTCTCTTCAGTTTTAACTCTGTTTATATAAGCTCAGTGGCACATGTTCCCAAAAGTTTTCACTTTGTTCCTTTTTGGTCAAGTGGGTGGCCACTTTGAAAAATACTACTTCGTAGAATTTACAGCTAGTCATAAACACACATTTGAGACCCAGATAAAATCATTTAAGGCTCTCTTAACTTTCTGTATTCTAATGAAGGCCAAGTTCTGTTGTGTCACAGATGTAGCAGAAAATATTTGTGCATTTTTTTTATCTTAACTAATTCATGTTTGTATAACAAAAACATCTTTGAGGAACAAAGATTGGAAGGAATGAGGAGAGGAGGAGGAAGACAGAAAGGCAGGGGCATGAGATAATGAATAATCTTAATTTGAAATTTCTATGGGTCCAATTTTTAAAGTAGAATTTTTTTAAATCTTTTCATTTACATAAGAACTTCACAAGGTCACTAATCACTTTATTACTAAATAGTACTTAGATTTTAATATAATTTTCTTTTTAAGTTTTTTTTTTTTTTTTTTTTGTTAGCTTTGCTTAGTGTGGCATATATCCACAAGATGCATACAGTACTTGTTTCTAAGCAGTCACCCATTTAAGTACTGATTAGGTTTAACACTGCTTGACTTTAGAAATTAGACAAAAATTATCAGAATTTAGCTTAGTCTGATGCAAAGTGTCTAAATTTTCATAAGCAGTTTTGGTCACTCATCACTGCTTAACTTTGATCAGATAAGAACTGCATGATTTGACCATAACAGTGGAGGTGTCAATTAGGGTAATGACTATTGTAGGAAATGTAATGTATGAATAGTTTAAAGTTTGACTGCGGTTGCCACCTTAGCATTAATACTTTTAGGAAAAACATGAATTTACTTCTGTTAATTGCTAGATATCTTGATAGAATGTTTCATCATTGGATGGTTGATAGAGAAGAGTGAAGGAGTAAATACTTGAACAAACCACTCTCCCATAACTAACTTTCTCTTATGGACGAAGAACTCAATTATTTCCACAATGATATTAAGATATTTAATAAGACAATGTTTTGACTCAATAGAAAAGTAGTCTGGAGGACATTGGATGGGTGAGATCAAGCTTTAGGCTGTTGTTAATAAGATTTGGAATTGTAAAAAAGAATTTTAAATTTACCATATTTGACAACTGAAAGAATTAGTGTAAATGCATTTTTTGGTTAATTGCATCAGTCAGACCAATGTGGATTTCAACTCTCTGACTTTGGTTGCTCAACAGGAGCTCAGTATGTAATTCTTTGTTTTAACAAAGGAAATTGAGAATATCTTTGTGTTGAAATTATGGAATGCATACATTGCTGAATATGGAATAACATTTTAAGTATTGCTATTATTGTTTAAATTTAATGTTTAGTGTTTTGTTTTTCCTTTGCATTACAAAGATTTTTCATTTGGAAAATACATCTGAAAAAAACTTACTGAAATTGCAGATAATTGGAAATGGCAAAATTGAATAAGAAATCAATTTCTGTCTGAATTTCTGGGATGAGAAATTACCATGATTTACACTATTTACATTCAGACTATTGTCCTCTTCTTTGTTATGACGTTTCAGCTGTTGTGCCCTCTGGCCTTCATCAGTTGTATATTAATCTGGATAACATACAGGGAATTCCAAACTCTCTATTTAATCTAGAGGTAGACTGTTTTCATTTTACTGCCTAACTGAGCAGTACTAAAAATAACTAGACAAGATATCCCTAGGTATGGGCAGTGGAATGAGACACAATCTGCTCCCATAGATTAAATAAAGGGATCAGTTCAGAATTCAGTCAGTTACTTGAATAGATATACATCTGATGAAATCTGGAGGGCACAATAACTGAAATGTAATAACAACAAAGATTAGGACAAAAGAAGCAAGAAGCCAGAAGAGTTTCACAAACAAGAAGTGTAAGAAGAAACTATTAGCATAGAACTTATGGTTACAGTTAATCATTTCAAATGTAAAATATAACTTGTATTCCCTCTGAAGAGAATGGTGATGTTATATTGCTGAAGTGGGCAAACTTGCCTAATATAAAAGTCACAGAGGATAATCTTCAGATGTTTGAGAGCTGAAATAATCTTTTATTGGCTTAAATTTGTTTTTAATTTTTTTTTCTCTCTGCACTGAAGAAAAATGCTTCATTCAAATCTCACATTAAGATTAGAATTTTAAGATATTAAATATTTTTATTTAACCATATAACATTCATGAATTTTAATCCATTGGGGTCAAATTTCATGCCCAGTGAATACTTTATAAAACTTGAGCTGTATTTTTTCTTTTTATATTAGCTGATGGGAAAGTGGGTGAACTCAGCTAATATATTTTTATGTTCTGTACATTGAATATCAGAGCCTCATGGGCTATTATTTGCCCAGACATTATATTTGTGTAGGTGTTGTTTTTTTTTTGTGTTTTTTTTCCAAGCTTATTGGCTGTATTTTTTTAATTGAACTTGGTATTTTTAAAACCTGTTTATTAATCTAGTAATTAACAAAAGCAACATTTTTTGAAAATTTTGAAATATTTATTCAAATTTCAGATAAATTTAAGAAAAGGTGTCCCAGAAAACTGCCTGAATGAGACTTGTACATCTGGTGCTGGTACTCTTCTGCTGGAGTTTGGTGTACTCTCTCGTCTCCTTGATGATCCAATATATGAATCTGTGGCTCGTAGAGCAGTTAACTCTCTCTGGAAATACAAATCAAATGTTACTGGCTTACTAGGTATGGTTATATTTATTATGACCCCCCTTCCTCTTACACTTCTTAGTGAAATGAACTGATTTCCAAATCTTGTAAGGATTCTGACTTACAAGATTGTGACTTTATAAATTACCAGACAATATTAACTTTGATCTTAATTGATTTGGATCATCTCAATAAAATGTTAATTATTTCAGTTGTTTGTTGCATTATAGTATTGTTGGACACTTTTGTCCTGACCCTAAAAACTTGACATTGGATCCAAAATAGGGTTTATTTGAAGTTCTGCAAAAGTTGGATTGAAAGGATTAAGATGAAAAATAATGGTGAATTTTGATTGCTCTAATTGATCCATTTTCAGAAATTTAAGAAGCCTAGATATTTAACAGAATGCCCGCTCGTGAATGTGGCACAAGGCCTTTTTTAATGAGGTGGAGGCAGTCTCTGACATACATGAGACCAAAATCACAATAGTCTAGTCTGATGTATATTTAACAGAATGCCACCTACTCTCAACATAGCACAAGATCCCATCCATTATACATGTAGAGGCTCACTCACATAAGACCATCCCAAAAATTCTTTTTTTTTTTTTTTTTTTTTCCTTCAAAAGAATGCTTCAAAGCCATAAGTGTAGGCATCTTGTTAGAATACCAGTCATATGATTTGAGAAGCTAATTTGTTCATCATTGCTCCAAGACAAGATGCCCATAAGTACTCATAGACTTTATCATCGCAATGCTTAAGAATGATTGACCATAGCTTGGGTAGGGGAAGTAATAAAGGTTTGGACTTTCAAACCGTATTCTTGGTAGTCTAACATAGATAGTGTATTAGCATTATTCATGTCGGTAGGCTACCGAGGATATAGATTGACTTTAAATCTGTATTTTTAATCCAGGCTAATCATTGTAAAATCTTTAATTTAAATAAAAAGAAAAAAAAAATGGTAAATTGACAAATGCTTAAAGAAATTCAGGCAATTGAGGTGCATATTTTTTTTTCTTTTTAATAAAGTTATTAAAATGTTATAATAAAACATTACCTCAGAATCTCCTGAGCAACACGTTACTACTACTACTACATATTAAACAATGAAAAAGATTGGAAATGGATGGCAAAATTATCACAAGAAGAGAACTGCTTGATCACAAAAATGTTTCTGTGGTTGAATTAGGCATCATCCAAGGTGAATACCTAAAGTAAGGAATATAAACTGGAGTTTTGACAAGCCTCTTTTTGATTCCACTTTCATACTCTTTGTTCTAATTGCTAAAAACAGGATCAGTTAATGATGTGATAAAAGTAACAAAATCACGTATGAACCTACAACTATTACTAAATGGTAAACAAAAAAATATGGTTCAGAAAAATTCAAGGGTGAATGTGGCAAAATGACTAAAAATTTGGGTAGGAATTATAAAAACAAATTTGCCAAAACTTGGTTTCACTCAAATCAATTTAGTTGTATGTGCTTCAGCAATGAAATTTATATTGACTCCATTTCATGTTAACTCTATTAGGGAGTGGATTGTTAATGTAACATTCTTAAGCATATCTAATCTTTGGCAGTTGAAGTAGATGACATAAAATCACACACACATAATAGCTTCTGATGAAACTTAGACTCTCATTCTAAGGAGTTAGTCTTACCATATATACTTGCAGATAGGTTGCACTTTTGGTTGGGGCCCTCACACTAGACTGATATAGAAACCCAGAACATGCATAGAAATTTAAAGAATTACGTGTAGATGTTTATTGACAAAAAAAAAAAATAGTCCCACGCCTCATTCTGCAAAATGTATATACTTTGGCAAAAATATGTTGGAAAATATGACTTAGAGAAATGAAATATATTCTTTATGAGATAATTTTCTTTAATGGTTGTTTCATAGAAAATTAAGGCATTCTTAAATGTTATTTACAAATAACAAAGCTCATGAATCTAGCACCGAAAATGTTTGCACTATTTTGCAATGCGCAGCATTATAGTTGGTAGCCAAATTTATAATTTTAATTGTTGCAAACACTAATCATGAGTAAAATAGTTATGAAACAGGTTTTAAATTAAATGTACTAAATTATGCAGGACATGGAAATTGATCAGCAGAAAGGCAGTTTGGAGTTTTGGAAAAGGTTGTCCGAGGATGGAGAAAACAAAGAAATAAATATAAAAATATCGGTACAACAGTTACTTTTGTTTTTTAAATGATGATTGATGAAATGTATTTTAACTGCAAAAGTCTATTAATAACTGTAAGTTTTGAAATAAAGGTAGATAGCTAATAATTTTTATGTTTAAAAAGGGCTGTGTAACTACCTGGGTTATAGTGCAATCTACAGTAAATCATCAATTATTATGCCATAAAGTAGGGGTGCTACCTATCCAGTGGGACAAAGTATCCGCAAGTATATACAATATATAAATGATGCTTTAACAAATTCAGCCACAGAATGAAGTCATTTTGCCACACTTACCTCTGAATTTCTCTAAACCATATTTTTTGTTTATAATTTAGTAGTAAGGTGGGGTTTTTTAGATTTTGTTACTTTTATCACATTATAAACTGATTTTGTCTTCGATTTAGTGGTGGAGTGTAATCCCTAAACCAATTTAGCCAAAGAAATATTTGTGATCAGTTTTCTTTTTATCTTTGTTTAATATTTAGTAGCAGTAGTAATTTGATGGTGCTAAAGAGACACTTTTTTCATGACAGAATTTATTAAATTTATAACAAATGAATAAAAAAACTAGACAAAATCTCAGTAACATTTGATGTGCCCTATATTAATTTTTTTTCATATCTGCTGAAGTGACAGTGTCTAATATGCTATAGAATATAAGTACAAAAGTATATAAGTTGAAAAGATGATACCAAATTTAAGAATGTTTGTAAATTGTATTTTGAAATTAATTTTCATGAGAAACCCAACAAAATATTACAACTTGAATGTCTTTTTTGTGCACCCAAAATTAGCAACTTTGTTTTTCTTCTTCCAAATGTGTGTGTGTGTTTTTTTTTTTGTTTTGTTTTTTTTTTGTTTTTTTTAAACCGTTTAGCTGAAAAAATTCTACATTTCTGAGTGGGGATTTTTATCTTTTTATTTAAGGTAATGTAATCAACATCCAGACAGGTGAATGGGTTGGCATCATGAGTGGTCTTGGCGCTGGGTTAGATTCCTTTTATGAATATTTGCTCAAGGTTTGTTATTTTTATTTGACACTTATTGTTTTTCTTTTTAACATTGGAAGATCAAACATTGCTCAAACCATTATAATTATTTCTTTTTGTACACAGTTTTTTTTATTTTTCCTCAAACCTTTAAAAACTTCCATTATGTAATTTTGTTTTTTAAATTAGGCAATCATTTACAAATTGATATAAAATGCATTTTATGAATTTTTCATTTTTCATCCCTAAGTGAAGTATGACATGATTATATCTTGACTATTTACCTATAGTGTTATATTCAAATGTATATTAAATAAAACCTTTATTTATCTTTCTTTCTTTTCTTTTCTTTTTTTTAAACATACACATATCTCAGGCAGTATATTTTTGTAACTATATCCAACATGTTTTCTTTTCTGCCTCTAGTCTTTTATAATGTTTGGTGGCACTGAAGACCTGAAGAGATTCAATGAATCTTATGAAACCATAAAGTTTCATATGCGCAGAGGGTAAGTGTAATATAAACTGATGTTCATTTTTTATTCTAAAGTATTGACAAAAATTACTTCAAAACTTGAAAAAAAGAAAGTTATTATTTTCATGCTATTGTTCATAGGCTTAAATGAAAGGTATCTAGTGATAAAATCGTGACTACTGTGATGTATTCTTAGGAAATTAAAATTCACCAAGTGCACTCACCTCCCTTTTTGATTTATCTCTTCCACTTTTTTTTTTTTTTTAGTTCTAATATATTGACCCTATAGAACAAAAGTGGCTGTGCATTGTTTTATTAACAGTGAGAGCAAAAGATTGATATAAACCCCAATTTCACTGCCACCTGACTTTGTACTATAAGGTAAGTTTTGTAAATAGAAATTAAAAACTTAGAAATACATTTGCATCTGTAAGTATTCAATGTCAAGAAAATAGTCTGATGTATGCAATAAAGAGCTTGTACTTCCTGGTAACATAAATCCATGCAAAATAATTTCTGCAGAAGAATTAAAAAGAACAAAAAAAAAAAATAAAATAAAAAAAATCTTGTATTCATTTCATTACAACTCAATAGAAGGAAGCTAACCGCTTTTTTCTATAGTGATTATTTATTTTATAACTTGGTGATTTTCAAACGGTGTTCCGCGGCACACTCATGTGCCAGTAGAGTAGGCACCTCCACTGAATTTTTGATGAATTTTAAAAAATGAAAAAGCATTCTTGAAGCTTTGTTTTTAGATTTAATTTACTATTTCCAGTAAGCAAAATACTCTGGTGTATTTCAAATAGAAATTATATTGATTAGTAGAATCTCAACTTTTTACTTGCTTTCAGAAATTGTTCAAACTTAACCATTTCAACACAAAAGTTAATTCTTGGTTTTAAAAATCTTCCAAAAATAAAATATACTTTTCTGAAACATTATTTGAGGAATATTAGATGATTTAAAGTGTAATTAATTTGATTTGAAAAAAATATTTACTTTCCACTTAAAATGAAGGAGAAATGGATTTTTAAAACAAACAGTAGCAGTGATTATGTGCTTATCACTCATTGATCTCTTAAGATGCATAGATAAGGTGTTGACATATATTTATTGTTGTTCTACAGTGACTTTATCTGTAAAACATAATTTAAGAAAATGATGGGCGAGTGCCTTTTTAATATAATTGTTTTAAGCACTCGGTAATCTTAAAAATGTTGGAAAATATTCTCCGTAATCTAATTTTAGGGATGTTGAATTTAAATTTACTATAGTCATCACTCTTATTTTCTGATCATGTCGTGTATGGTCACTATACTTTCAAACGGGCATTTTATGTAATATTTTATATACATGAAAAATTTTAAATTATTTTAAAAATCTTGGTGCTAAATGACTTGTATTAAACTTTTCAATTTTGATTTGTAAATATAGTTTCCACTTGATTACAATATTATCTAACTGGAAGAAAATAACACAGAATTTTAAATGATTTAAATTATTATAATTTTTTTAAAAAATGAAAACAATTCTTGTAAAAATTCATTGAAAAAACTTTTTCCTTAAGACAATAGTGTTCTTAATAAATCTTATTTATAAAAGGAATTAAAGCTTTTCTAATTAGTCATAGTTTTATTGCATTTTTTATTCTACAATTTGGAGCAGAATTTTGGTAGAGGAGCTGTAGTTTGAAAAAAAAAAAAAAAAAAAAAAATTGGTGGCTTTCCAAGGAGTCCTACTTTTAACTAATAAAAATAAGAAAATTTAGTTTCTTGTAATTTCATGAAATTAAGTGTGGGGTAACATGTAAAAACAATATTTTTTACCAAGATTTTCTAAAGAAAAATTAAAAAATAATTTCACTCATTTGTGAATAAGCTCTGAAAGTTTTATTAAAATCTGACAATTATTTGATTTTCGCAAGAATTTCCAAATCAATGTGTTTTTCACCAGAAAAAAGTGCAAAAACACTAATTTTAACTAATGTCAACTGCTGACATAAAAAAAAAATTACCAAAATTTCAAACATGCTAGAAAGGCTTGAAAAAAAAAAAATTAAATAAAATAATAAAATACTTTGGTCTTTCCTCTTAATAATAGTGTAAACATTTTGACGATAAAACTTTGTTTTTATTAAGTTTAGGGCCTTTTTCATCATGCTATGCTGTTTTTCAGCGAAAAGGTGGAGGTACCTACATTAGAGGATCATAGGTGTGCTGTGAAAATTTTTAAAGGTAATTATCTTCATCCAAAGCACAATAAATATATCAAAATTAAAACCCCTTAATTGATTATATCATTGTTATAATAAACATATATAATATAAAAGTAAACTTTTCTGCAATAAACAATTTAGGTATTTCCACTAATTCATGATACCTAAGGTTTAAAATGAATTTTTATAAATGAAAAAGCTTTCTTTTTAGCTTTAATTGAAATTAAATTTACTACTTCCAGTAAGTAAAATACCCTGTAGTGTATCTCAAACAGAAATATTGATTGGAATCGATTGATTTATTTTTTTTCTTTTTTGCTAAAAATAGCTGATTGGTGCTCTTTTTTACTCATCTTTCATCACAATGTAATTCTCTGTATTAAAAAAACTCCCCAAAATCAAATATACTTTTTTCAAATTTTATTTAAGGAATATTAGTTGATTTAAAGTATAATTAATCTGATTTAAAAAAAAAAAAAAAAAAATCAATTTAAAATAACACAAAGATATTTTTAAAACAAAACCGTAACTGTTTTTAATGGACATTGCTTTGTTTTATGGAGACTTTATCTGTAAAACATAATTTAGAAACTGATGTGCATTTTTTTTCTTTTTTAAGTACTCAGTAATCTTAATTGACTTTAAATTTACTATAGTCATCGCTCTTATTTTCTGATGTTGACCATACTTTCAAAAATAGGCACGTTACATAATATTTTATATACATAAAAAAAAAATTTTTAATTTTAAAAATCTTGGTGCAAAATGATTAAACTTTTTAATTTTTGATTAGTAAATATAGTTTTCACTTAATAACAATATCACTTAATGAGATTAAACTAATGTAGAATTTTAAAAGCTTTATAATTAAAATTACAAAATGACATTGATTTTTGTGAAAATTCATTATCCATCAAAAATATTTTCTTAATAATACAATAATGTACTTATTTATAAAAGCAATTAAGAGCTTTTCTAAGTTTTATTGCATTTTTTTATTTTATGATTTGGATCAGACTTAACTAATATAACAAAAAATTTCTCAAAATTGAGTCGGGGGTGGGTAACATATGTAAAATAGAAAAAATTGCCCAAAATCTTATTTGTGAATAAGTCCTGAAAGTTTCTCTTAATAAATCCAACAATTATTTAATTTTTGCAAGAAATTCCAAATCAATTCCTTTTTCACCAGGAAAAAGGCACTAAAACACTAATTATAAATATTACATTGACTGCTAACGTTAAAAAAAAAATTTTAACCAAAATTTCGAATGTACTAGAAAGGATTAAAAAAATTCAATAAAAAAAAGTTCTTTGGTCTTTCTCTTAAAACATTGATGATAAAACTTTGTTTTTTTGGGGCTTTTTTCATAACACTATGCTGTTTTTTCAGCGAAAAGGTGGAGGTTCCTAAACAATATTGAAAACAAAAATCGATCATGGCTAGAATTCTTGGAAGAAGGTTTAGTATGCATGTTCAAAATTCAACCTTGCAAAGAAGACACTTTAAAAAAACGTCAGGTTCAGATATTAAATGTTAAATTATAATAAATAGAAAAATGTTTTTTTTCTTTTTTTCCCTTTTTAGTACAAATTATAAATTTTATTTCTTAATAAATAAATCATAAAAAGTATACCCCTTTTTGTCATAATGTGTGCCTTAGAAGTTTAACTATAGGTTCAAATGTGGCATGAGTAAAAAAAAAAAAAAAAAACATTTGAAAGACAATGTTTTTCATATTAACTTATCTGAACTTTGTTGGTCTCACAACCAAAGAGCAATATTTTCTCTTCCTTTTTATCAGGAGACTTCACTGTAACAAAGGTCTTGGACATCCTCCATTATATGTTAATGTCAACATGAGAACAGGGGATACAGTCAACAACTGGGTTGATTCTCTACAAGCTGCATGGTCAGCAGTTCAGGTAAATTTACCAAAAAGCTATTAGTAAAATTCTATTATCTCAAATTTGGATATGCTGCATTATTATTTTATTATGATCATCTATTTATTCATCTTGTTTATTATTTTGATAACATCCTTGGGTGTATGCTGAATACAATAATCTTCAGGTTGTCTTATTCCTCTGGATTCTCATCGCTGATAATATCCCCGCTTTGATGTGTAAGTATTGCAACAGTGGCACAGAAAGGAGACTTGCCAAGTTGAATTCAAATTTCAGTCTCCTTTTAGGCATGGTTTCACTCATGCTTTTCAGAATGCATGAACCCTTCTCTTAGTTGTGGGTAAACTGCACTCTTGAGCATTGAGTAGTAGCCAGTCTAGGAGGGTAATTCTCAATTCAAGCTATTGAAAAAGCAGCAAGGAATCTATTTCAGTCATTCACTTTCCATATTATTTTTTTTTTTTTTTTTTTTTACACACACAATTAAATTGCAGCATGTATTTGTAGCACAAGTGATAAAACTGATATTTATCTTATTTTGTAATGTGTGAAGTGCAAGAGTTGAAATGTTACTTGATATATTTTTATTTTATTTTCTTCCCTGTTTCTAAGGTTAAAATTCCTTTCTATTTGTCAGGTTTTGAATGGAGATGTTGAAGAAGCAATTTGTACCCATGCTTTCTTCCATGCAATCTGGAAAAAGTATGGAGTTCTCCCTGAGCGATTCAATTGGCAGTTTAAAGCTGCAGATTTGCATTTCTACCCTCTTCGCCCTGAGTTAGTTGAATCAACCTACTTCCTATACCAAGCCACCAAAAACCCGTTCTACCTCCATGTTGGAAAAGAAATAATAAACAGCTTGAATGCTCACACCAAGGCCAAGTGAGTAAATAACAGAATGAATTCTAATTGCATTTGTACTGTTGATTCTCTTTGTACAGAACAATTTCCCAAGAAGGATCATGGCTTGGCTGAAAAAGAAAAACTAGATTTATTCAATGCTTCATTCTGACAGCATTTGTCAACTATAGATATTTACTTAGCCTAATCTGGTAACTGACTTATATTAATGGAACATCCAGAGAGACTCCTTCATTACACAAGTAGCATGTAACATTAGCTTGTCTATGTATATGTGCATGCATGCAGTTAAAGAAAAACATTCTTGATAAAAAGAAAATGCTTATATGAATGTAAGAAAAAAAAATTTAATCGCAGTGCCTTGTCAGTCGTCTTCAATGAAAATTGTATAAAAGGGTATTGCTGCCCAAATGCACCACACACAAGTGTGTGTGTGTAATATATATATATATATATATATATATATATATATATATATATATATATAATATAGTTTGTCAGAAATATAACAAATGCTGGTTACCTTTTATTTTTTTATTTTTTTATTTTTTGTTTAAACATTGAAAATCCAAAGATATAATGATGCTTAACTTAAATTTTTTATTTAATTTTTGGCATCCATTGCATTTAACTGAATAACCCTGTCAACCTCATTCAGCTTTCTGTTGCTTTGTCTCTTATTTTTATTGCTATTATTTTTAAATATCTCACACTATATTAGCAATAATTTTGTAAGGAAAAGATGTGCTGTAAAATATGTAAGACAGTGTGCAGAATATTTCTCTGCATAATCAACTTCCCAAAATCTGAGCAAACATCAGAATTTAAATTTTTTTTTTTTTTTTTTTTTTTTTTTTTTTCTTTCTTCTTGGTTTTTTTATAACTGTCTCTTTTCACTTTATCCATTTCCTTACTACTCTGGCATATTGTTTATTCCTATTCTTTCATCAATTTACAGTTGAAATGGTTAGATGTAATCATAAATTCTATGCTAACAATTTTTTCTCTTGCACTTCTCATTTGTGGAATTCTCTTCTGTCTTCTTGTTTTCCAGTCAACTTTTATCTTCAAAAATTTAAACAATTGTCACTTTCTGCCTCCTTGAATCCTGTTCTTTTATTATTCTCTCAATGTTTTTTTCTGATTCTTTCACTCTCAGTAACTTCACTTTGCTTGGGGTGCACTGATTTAAAAAAAAAAAAAAAAAAAAAAAATAGGCAAGCTGTTTTGGAACCTTTTTAGAAATCAATATTTAATAAGTTTGTCTCGTATCTGTTAAGTTCAGTTTTCATCGGGTTCATCAAACTAAGCTCAGCTTATTAAGTATCTTTGCAGATTGCTGCCAGAGAGCAGTGATTACCACATTCTCTTGCAGGCCATTATTAATAGTATGGGCTTAATATTTAAATTTAATATTCTAAATTAACATTGAATTTGAAATTCTACTTCAATGTTGGGACATTTTTAAGTCTAAGCAAAATGTCATTATGCATAGTTTATAAAAAAAAAATTAAAAAAATGATGCTATTTCTAGTTCAATGGAGGGGATCAAATGAGACCATAATCTCTTGGATTGGTTGTTTTTTGTTTTTTTTTTATTTTTGTTTTTGCAGATGTGGCTATGCAACAATCCATAATGTTCATCGAATGGATCAGGAAGATCGAATGGAAAGCTTCTTTCTTAGTGAAACTTGTAAATATTTATATTTGGTAAGCACAAAAATATTTAGTTTTCCTTTTACTGAGCTTTGTCTGATTATAAGGCTATAAGTTTAGAGTACTTATTCAGGATCAAGCTCTTTACACTAGTAAAAGTGGGCAAGACTAGTTTGCTAAGCTTTGCTCTATGATGAAGCATCCTTCTTATAGACCTTTGCTTAATCTGGTAGAAAACTATTAGTGTGGGGTACCCAGTGAGAAGTGAAATCATTATAGTAGAAACAGTCTGTAACACTACCCTATTACCACTTGAGATCTGCTTTGTCATTTTTTTTATTCATTAGCCAATTCTTTGAATCTGGATAAATTTCTACATCTTATAACTATCACAAGACTGAATGTATAGTCCTCATCAAGAGAGCACAAGGTGTGAGTACAATTAGATGTCAACATCAGGCAGGTACAGAAATGTATCTGGGTAGCATTGTAATAGATAATGGAAAATATGACACAGAAATCCAAGGGCACATTGGAATAATGAAAGATGCCCACTAGAAACTAAAAGTATTAGGTGTCGGAAAATTTCATTAGAAACAAAGGAAAGTGCTAAACTGCTGTCATATTCACTACCTATGTGAATGCTAGACAATTTCCACACAGATGAAGAGGAAACTTAAAGCAACAGATGTGGTTCTACATAAGGGGGCTTGAGAATACCATAAAATTGAACTTGTTTTTAAGGAAAATAAGAACAGAAAGAACATTTACACTTACAATCAGAAAGAGTTAACCTTTTTAGGACACATAATGAGGAAAAAATACCTGGCAGTATATATTGAAGGCAAGAAGGAAATATTTGAAGGTAACTAGAGTTAATCACCAGCACCTGAGGTATGAGTAGGAAGTTTTTGACTCTGGTCCCATGTACATGTAGGGGCTCCTACATAATAAAAGCCTCATTTTGGAAAAGGTGGACATCCCAATAAATAGTGTCATTGAATACGGCTGTTTAAAATGCTTATTTTTGTCATATAGGAAAATCCAACATGGCGCGTAAACGAAATATTCGGCGAAAAATTGCATTCGTTAGTAACATTTTAAACACCTCAAAAATGTAAAGTTCTTAAAGCAAACATATGCCAAACTGTTTTCCTGAATCCTTGATGACTTGGCTGTCCAAAAATGACAACATCAAGATGAAATAATGGAAGCTGACCATGAAAAACACAATTATGCGCAACAAGTTTTTATGAAAAAAAATCCCCCTTTTTTTATGAAAAAATATTTATTTTCACTTTTCATCCCATTCTCCTTAATTTGGCATGAACATTGAATAAAAGGAACAGCTAAATGGCCCGATGGGAAATACGAAAGACATGTGTCGAAAAAAAAATATCTGCTAAGTGTTGTCATCACTGGGTCAAAAAAAAAGAAAAAAGAAAAACACATCAAGCCAAGCCATCGTTCAAACATGGGTTTGAAAAAAAACCTTATATCAAGCCCTACCAATGTTGACTTTTTTTTTTTTTTTTTTTTTCACTCTTTGCTCTTGTCTGGGAGTGGAAGGTTTTATTACAAGCTGATGACAACTTGTTCTAAACGTTTATTGCTGGCTGGCTGACCTTTGACCCAGACATGTCAGTCAATTTGGCTTAATTTTACTTTTGGTTTCTGGTGGTCAGGAACTGCAGATAAATCTTTTGCCTTTTACTAAAGATTTCCGTGGCCAGGTGTCAATTTTTTTAACTTCTGGCAGTCATATAATTGAAAATTACAAATGGACTTTGTCACCTTTTGACCCCCCTATTAATGTTGATTTCCTTCAAAACTCTCAATTTTATGCCTGAAATAGTTTATGATTTAGGCTTTCTGATTTTCAAAAAAAAATGGTTAATTTCTGATTATTAGGGAAAGTTTGTTTAGAACTAGAAAAAATGAAAAATTTTCACTATTGTTTCACATTCTACCCCCTGAAACAAAAATTTGAGTCATTTACACCAGCCAATTTTACTTTTAAATGAAAGAATATATCCTTTGCTTTCAGAAAATATCTAGTTTCATGGGGGTTCAGATCAAAAGTTTCCTTGATATTTGTTTAGATGATGATAAAACAGTCATTTTTCAATATTTTACCCCTATGAAAATCTTCTTTTTTTTTTTTTGTCAGAGAAAATAAGCTGTGACAAAATGACTTTTTCCATTTTTGTGATAATTTTTACTTAGGATAGAAAATGTTTACCATAGCAAACCTGAACTGACTTTATTTAAGTCCAGTGTGGCTATAGGAACCCTCAAACAGCTGCATGAACTACAACTTGTTAATTCATTTTATTAAGGTTGATATTTACTTATCTTTGAATTAAATAAGTTTTAGACATTTGACATGGGTATACCAGTTATGGCTTGAATGATCACCAGTGGTTTCATAATAGAAAAAAAATATTTGCATAAAGTTTTCATGTTTTTTGTCATCTATGTTGGTTGAGACAATGATTGAGAATTATCTGAAAACTTAATTACAATACAGTATGACAGACATTTAGAAACCACTGTTGTATGGCAGAAATAAATCTTACAGTAACAAAAGGACAATAAGACTTAAGGGAAAGAGATAGAGATATATATATATATATATATATATATAGTATTACGACAGAATCCAAAATTTGTTGTGTAATACAATGTTATAATAAATACATTGACCTCTTTTTGTGTATGTTTTAATATTTTATATTACTAGGATCCACTTGAATTATATACCAACAAATTTATTACCTGTTATATAAGTAAAATTCATCAGTTTGGTAATGAGGTGGAACAAAAAAAATTGTTGTTTTAGTTTTCTCTTTATTACAATATCCAAGTTGTTTTTTCACTGTATCACCATTAACTAATTACGATGGATCCCATAAAATAAAGGATTAGCCTCAAACTTTCCCTTGGCATTGCTCTTTTAACTACCTTCACTACTGTTTTAAAAAGTGATTAGAATTGAAATAATACCTAAACATATGAAAGTGAATCTATACATTTTATTTTTGTTCTTGAGAATTGACAAAAAAAAAAATAAACACTATTTATTTATTAGATTGTTTATTTACCCTGTTATTTACTGGAATGGTTGGCAAAAGATTGGCTAATTGCCAATTAATTCAAACTTTATAAAATGGTAAATAATGAGGATTTCTCATAGTTGGCTCACATATTTTAATAATTAGTAAATGTTTATAAATCTGTATAAATAAAGCACAGTGTCTGTCCATCTGTTTTTTGATCTTGGCAAATCATAAACAACCTGAAGTAACCAGTAGTAACTACTGTAGTTACACATGATTAAGAATTAAATAATGCATTTAAAGTTAAATTTAAATATTGAATGGTGAAAGATTTAAAAAGCAATTCTTTATTAAAGATTTAACTTTAATTTTGCTTTTTGTCGCAATTGATATTGCCTAACTAATTAAAACTTAAGTGGGGCACAGTATGTCACTTTTTTTTTTTTTTTTTTTTTTTCCTAGCACATGTGCTGTGACGTATTCAAAATATTACATTGTTCGGTTTCCCTAATGTCTTTTAAGAGTGACTTTATAAAATAAAAATTGCATGCAAAATAAAAGGCAAACAAACTACGGAGATCAGTTGCATATACAAAGAAAGATTATGCCTAATTAAGGTGTTGAATAAAGATAAGATAATTTCATTATTTCTAAATTCTTATAACTTTTACATACATAGGAGATTGAAGGCAGAAAAGCCCTCCGCAGGAGCTGGCCTAAAGTCCGCCCCAAAGGGCAGCTTCTAGGCTAGTCTGTGAATAAAAATTCTTTTCCAATTTATTTTTTTTTATAAATTGGTAAATGATAAATATTGCAGTAGTTCTAGAATGTTGTAAATAATAAAATTATTATTGTAAATAAACAATCTAATAAAGTGTTTAATATTTTTGTTGTAAATTCTCAAGAACAAAGACGTGTATAGATTCACTTTAATCATATGTTTAAGTTTTTATTCCACTTCTAACCCTCACTTTTTAAAACACTAACCCTTGCTGAAGAGTGAGGGTAGTTTAAAAAAAAAAAAAAAAGCAGTGTTGTAGAAAGAAAAAAAAACATCCCTTTGGTGCTGTCTTATTGCTGGCATGTTTTTCCATGTTTGCCTAAAACTTGAACTAGTATCCTTGTGATAATCTAATTTTTTTTTTTTTTTTTTTTTTTTTAAAAGCAAAAAAAAACTTTTGAGGGTTGAAAGTTTTAATATCACCAGGGGATAGTTATTTCCAATCTATTCTGTTTACTTTATGGCCTTAGACTGCAACACAATCTGTGTCATGAAAGGGAACTTAGTCCAAAATTAATAAGTGTTTCAGTTAAAAAAAAAAAAAAAAAAAAATATATTAGGAAAACTTTATTTACTTCCAAACTGTCTCTCTACAAAGTTGTTTGATCTGAGCTTTGGATTTGGCTTTGCTTTAAGCTAGGTTAACTTGTAAATTATTAGATCAAATTGGCACACAAAAACTTTTTCTTCTGAAGCAGATGTTTTAATTTGCATTTCTTTCATTTCAGTTATTTGACAAAGATAACCATTTAAATAAAGAGGCCACAAAATACTTATTCAGTACAGAAGGACATGTCTTCCCTATCAATGGAAAGTTTAGGCAGAAGAAATACAAAGAAGATATTCCCAAACGAACACGTTTAAAATCATCTCTCAGTATTGTAGGTTCTGCTCCTAAAAACCATTCTAAGGTAAGATTAAAAACTTTTTTTCCTGATATATGCAAATTCATTCTTTTCATCCAATGTTTGCATGAGATTAAAATTAAATCACTGATATCTAAATTTTTTTATTTTACTCCAAGCAAGGCAATAAAGCCACTAAGACATAAGAGGGTGTGAGATAATATGAGAAAAAGAACATGATTGAGGAGAGAGAACAATAAAAGAACAGGAATTAAGAAAACAGAAGAATGATTAATGCTGAATTAAAATTTTTTTTAAGATCTATGTTGACTGGGAAGCAAGAGTCTAGGTACCACAGAGGAAAGTTTATCAGAACAATTATCACAAAAATATTTATAAAAAAGATGTAGGGAAGCTACATTACAGTGGTGGGAAAGTGGCTAAAGCCAAGATGCCAGGTCAAGACCATTGAAGATTTTTCTTTGTATTTCATCAAGAATTTCTAAGCACATAACAGAAGCACCAGACCAGATAAGCTTTATACAATAGATTCTCTTTAAAAAAATATTAACTGATATTAGATTCAGCAGCTTTAAGGTTCAGTTTAAAATAATGCTTTCAACTGTCACTCTCAATACTTGCATTCATCATAACATTTGAAATCATGTAAAATTTAATATTTATTTATATATATATATATATATATATATATATATATATATATATATATATATATATATATATATATATAATTTCAATTAAAAAGGTGCAAATATAATTTATAAATTCATGAATCATTCATACAAAAAACAAATATAGAGGTTAATGATTTATATGGCGAGAATACTTCATCGCAAACAATATAAATAAGATACATCAACCCCGAACCTGTATATGAATGATATGATCCCCGTTTATAAATTCCAGTTGCATAAGGTCTTTCTAACAAGCTTTTGTCTGTTCCTACAGACATCATCAGGTATGGAAGTAGATTTTGTTCTTCTTTGTACTTCTCAGTAATAAGAGGACAACAAAAATAGAGATGTAATCCGAAAAAATGCTATGAGAAATGTGTTATTGTTTTGGAACATGCGGTCGCAATGCTGAGTTTGAATTTAAATCATTAACCTCTATATTTGTTTTTTGTATGAATGATTCATGAATAATATATATATATATATCTATCACTCAAGATCCATCCAACCAATTTTGACCAAACTTGGCACATATATTGTATAATATAAGAGTTCTTGGTGTAAAAAAAAATCAATCGATAAATTCAACTTTTTTCCTCCGATTTCATTCAAACTCGGTATGTTGGTTACTTCCAATATAACAAGCTCAACAATACCTCATTCTTCACTGTGTTTAAGAAAAAACTGCAAAAAATGAAAAATTGATTTCAACACAGTCTTTAAACTAAAAACTTGCTCAGTTTTCAAGCAATCTAATACAAACTTCACTAAGTTGTGGCCAACAATAGGTTAATTGTTTAACAGTCATTTAACTTAATAATTGAGTTTACCCATATAGTGAAAACTTGTGTAAATAGCATTTTTTTTTTTTTTTTTTTTTTACTGGTTTCTTTATTTCTTTCTTATTTTTTGTTGATCTTTCAACCAATTTTCATCAAACTTAACAATTACTTTATAAATGTATCCTCTTTTACATCTCTGGTAGCACACTGACAAATTGGATTTCAAAAACTCCAAAATAATTGTTGTCTGAAGTGGTCTTCATGTTGCCTGTTTCACACTTCATGTCCTCAGCTAAATTCGATTGAATAAATACAGACTACTTCTGTTATATCAGTAACTGCATTAATTCAAAATGCTTTTTTAATGAAAGTACTTTAAATTAATTGAAGAATAAAGACTCTGTTACATCTAAACATGATGCTATTTTGCTCCATTCTAATTGAATGCTTTTTCTGATCGACCAGCTGGGTATGGCTTCTAGTATTATATAGTGGAGTTATAGTTTTTAAATGTGTACATGAAATAAATTTTGGAGTAAAGGTTTATAGAAAAAAAAAAATTCAACTGCATTTGACCCCCAGTATACATAGTTTGGCTTTTCTTATGACCAGCTATTGACTTCAACACTCACTTTATTCCTTTCCCGAATTAACTAATTTGATGTTTCTGGTTGCATTGAGGAGTGGGGAAGTTTGAAACAAATTATACAATATTTGATCTAAAATTTATTTTAATAAATTGTGTATTGAAAATTGATAAGGATTTGTCAGTGATTAGAAATTAAAGTTATTGATAGAAAAGGACTATTATGTTTTATACCTTGCTATTGATTCTATTATAGAATTATGCCCTTTCTACTTTGCAGACATATAGCCACCTAAGTTAATATTTTTCCAAGCAGAATATTCAATGATCCACTTTTTGAATTCATATCATGTATCTGTTCACATGGTGATTACAGAAATTTTGACATCTTTCTTTTTAGATATGCCCTTTTGTATTTTCTATGCAACTAAATTATCATTTGAGTGAATATTATTCATTCAAGAAATCTTATTTAACATGGGTTGCATAAGCAACTAATTTTCTTGGAATATCTTGCACCTATAAATTCAAGCAATTTCATTTTTTTCTTTTTAATCATTTTTGCATAAGCATTTTTAGCAACTTTTATCTTGTAAGAAACTTGGTACATTTTCTTTTGCTTTTTGGGAGTTGAAAATTTTTTTTTTTTTTTTTTTTTTTCCTTTAATGTCTTCATTCAGATATTAAAATTTAAAATATAAAGTGATGCTGAAAACAAAATACCAAAGATATGATTATTTTTAAAATAATTTTAAATCCTTGAAATAAGCATTATTCATAATAAAGAATAACTTTGTTGATTTTGTTTAAATTTTTATCATTATTTGAAATGTCACCTACAGTTATTTATAAAAAAAAGCCTAATGATTTGTATTTATCTTTTTAGTGCACCAACATTCCTCTGGAATCGAGATATTTTCTTCCAGTAAAAAGTGTCTACCTTGAACAAATAGAACAAGCAGTAGGACTACTTGACTCAAAATAATTACAATATTCACTTTCTTGTGAAGTTCAACAAAAAAAAAAAAAATACAATAAAAAAAAATATGAAAATTTGGCTGCATTTTTAAAGAGAGAGAATGGATCCTCTTAGCTGTTTTTATAAAAATTACAAACTGAGATGAATATCATTTCATTCCTCCTTACTTATATATATATATATATATATATATATATATATATATATATATGTTTGAGATTTTAAAATTTTTTTTTTTTTTTTTTCAGTTTACAAAAGTCACCACTTATTCTGAAAAGTGCAAATTTGGATTCTTAAAAAAACAAAATGAACTCTAACCAATTAATAATTAAGTAAATCTAAACCTATTTTTATATTTTTCTCATAACAGATAAATAAGAATGCTAAATTAAGCCGAAAAAAATTTGATTATTAAACCATAATTAATGATGAAACTAAATTTCATATTTAAAGAGAATCTAAACAATATTTTCTCTCTCCCCCTCCTCCCCCCAGGAAATTGTCTGTTGTATGTTTCCTTTAAATTCAATCCTTTCACGAAAAGTAAACAAAACAAAACTGAAGGGGTGGTGGGGAATAAGATTAAATTTTTGGTAAATTTTAATTTGAGTTTTTTTTTTTTTTTTTTTTTTTATCAATCAATCATCTGATGCTATATTGGGAACTGTTTTTAAAACTTTTACCTGCCGGCCATCTGATGTTAGGAATTGTTTTTTAAAAATTTTATATAATTTTTACCCCCATCACTTTAAACATATTGACAATATGGTGTGCATCTAAAGTTAGTGATTGTTTTGTATGCATCTTAAGGCTAGCCAGACAGTTTGACACTGGTGTTTAAAAACTAGTAAGTAAGGAATGATTGGAAGGTCACTAGAAGTTTCCAGATCCATTTAGACTTGCCAGATAGCAAACATTAACTTCTTTTTCAGATGACATATAATCTGGATGCATCTTAATTGCAGGCATAGTTAAATATTTACTTAAAAAAATACACACACACACACCAATGGAGCTGGTGTCTAAGCAGTTATTTCAACCAATGAATTAAAACTCTAAGATAAATCTACATTCATTTCATTTTCCCACTCATTGCTCTTTGGAAATAATTGATTTGATATTTTGCAAAAAAAAAATTTTTTTTTTTTTTTTTTTTTGGCTTTTTCGTGTTCTTGTTCTCCAGAAAATTGAGACTAGAATTTCATTTCAAGTCCTGTATTTGTTTACATTTATTTTTTGGAAGTTTTTATAAAGCTAACTCTGAACTATTTTATTAATTGCTAGGAAGAAATAATTCTCATAGGATCAATATTCCTGGATAAATTGAAAATTGTAAACCTATTTTTAATGCAATTCATACAAAGTATAATAGTGAACACTTATTTTAGATATTTAAAAATCTGGTCAAGTGTAGATAAACCTGCTAATATATTATAAATGAATAGATCAAAATCAAATATGTCAGTAAAAATTAAACAAAAATGTAACTTATTTTGGATATTGACCAAAACAAAGATCATATATTTACAAACATTAAAACAGCCATCATTTGTCTTTTTAAAACCTTAATAACTAAGTATCTAAATTTTTATAAATTAAGCAATATTGTAACATTTGAATAATTGTCATTTCTTTTTCTCTCTTCTCTCCCCGCTCCTTGGCTGACTTTGTTTAAAAAAACGAAACAAAAACTCAGGAAAGATATTTGTTTAAAGAACTGAAATCTTTGGAGAAAAAAAAAAAAAAAAATTGAAATATTTGAAAACGTAAACTTGTGTTTGTCTTATTTTTTATAATTATTTTATATAATTAATGTCATAATGTTAATAAAATATTGTCAGTTTATAACTTTGATTTTGGAATTGGTTGCATACAGAAAGGAAACAGACAAGCATTTCTGCAAATAAAACTTTGGCAGCAGAAACGAAAATAAAAGCTCTTTTCTATGTCAGTTATTCCAGACCACTGAAAATCCCTTTCTGATTTCCATTAAAAAAATTATTAAAATGAGAAAACTGGTCAGTGAGAATTAATAGTATATTTGCCTTTTCAGTCTTCATGATATATTACTTGACATTTGTCAAGAAATCCCCCCCCCCCGCCTCTTACTAGATGGGCAAGGGGAGGGATTAGGGCCTCTAGAAGTTTCCCAAACGGACAAAGAAGACTAATAAGCCAACAGAAGGGTCATTAGAGTTCTTAAAAACTGAAACAATAGATGATTCCAACAGGCAGAAAGGCATTTATTATATTGTTTAGAGAAAACAGGAGCCAGTTTGAGAGCACTCTTCTTAATGCCTATTACAGAGATACCATTGGGTTCACATGCTTTATGGGGATCTAGGTTAGAGTTTAAGGAGAATTTATAAGCAAAGCATTCAGCTTTATCAACAGAGGATGTAATGCCTCAAATTTATTGAAGAGGGGAGGAATAAAGACCTCGCACTTATTTAAAGTTGTTTGATGCTATGTGGTGCTTCACTCTCTTGGGAAACAGAGACTTAGCTCCTTCGAGGACTTGTTTACATTGATTACAAGCAGTAGTGAATAGGTACCTGTTGTGAAAAGAGCTGTCATGCTGGTATAGCTGAAAATAGTGATTCTTGTGTGCTATAGCAGCTGAGCCTGCTGGTGTGAACCATGGAGAGGATTGAGGTTTCACCCGGTATTTTGGAGAAGGGATGAAAGCATCCATGCTGGCTTTGAGCAAAGAAACCTCAGTGGCACAATTCTCAATTTGGAGGTTAAAGATGTCAATCCAAGGGGTGGCACAAAGAAAATCACAGAATGAGTCACAATCTACATGTTTGTAACAGAAAGAGGTCTTATGAACAGGGGATTCTTGTTTAATAGATGAATGGAATGAAATATCAAAGTGATGAGTTACCAAGAGGGTGGTATTTTGAAGCTCAGCAAGAGAGGCGGTAAGAAATAAATTAGAGAAGCCTGTTGCTTGGTTTCCATACCCGTTGAAACTCTGGTTTTTGTATGATCACTGAAGTTAAGCAACATTGAGGTGGGTGACTGGGAATACCAGATGTAAGCTTGGATATGTGGGTAATGTAATGGATAATGGCTTCAAATTAGAAAGCAGCATTCCAATTCCAGTTGTTTTTTTTTATATTTGGTTATGTACCATGTGTGATACACACTTAGGCTTTCATGTATCTTTCTCTACCTGACTGACTAGGCAAATTTTTCCTGCGATAGGTTGCCATTTCTTTCTGTGGTAGACCAGTTGCCATCCAAGGCTATAGAACCCAGTCTGTCCTGCTATTTACCTATAGCTGGGAGGAGAAGAGGAGGATTCATCAATCTGAGCCGCTACCCATCACTCCACCATGCCTTCTTTTTATATTCACTATGTGCAAATACCCTTGGGAAAAGTATGAATCCACATATTTCCCCCAACTATGGGTTAATTAGGACTTATCTCCAAAAAATTCCTACAATCTAAAAAATATCAATCATAATTTCCAAAAATTTCTTACAATTTAAAAATATTTTTTTGGCTTTAAATAATTGGCAAAAAGTTAAGTCATTAAAAAGTCAATCAGCTCAAATTCAACAGTATTAACATAATTGTTAGACTTGTATACCACTATGGTAGAAGAGAATGTTGGCCAACCTTTGCTGATATCAGTGGTCTACTCCCCCACCCCAAATCCAGTTTATTCTAATTAGCATCAGGAGGCTTGTCACACCTATAAATTAAAATGTGCTCAACCCTAGAGCTTAATTGAATTTCTTCTCAGGTGCAATTTTGTGAGTTGCCTGGAGGACCCTGAACAAATATTTTTTTTTTGATATTCTACCCAAACATCAGTAACAGAGTGTAGTTATGGCCACCAAAGGAAATATTAAAACTCTTCCAAAGTATGATGAAAACAAAGAAATATGAAAGTTGGAAAAAAAAGAGATCTTGAACTATGAACTTTACACTGACATGCATAAAGAGAATATAGGCCATTGCTATACATTTAAATTTAGCCAAGACCAGTAGTTCCAGATTGAGTTTGTCTATGAAAAAAGGAACTCTGATAATGGATCTAAAATAATTTTTGGTAAACTTGAAACAGATGGCAGTATTGACAAATACCCTTTGAAAGCAAATTGCATAAACTTAGGTGGAAATTGAGCTTCTAGATGGCAGACTATTGAAAAGTTGTGACTTAAATGCGATACAGCATTTCTAGTTGGTATCAATGGTGAGAATGTTCAACTGACTCCTTTTCCCGGCATGTGGAAATTATAAACTTTAGCTAATGAGTCAGCTGTCTGTGCTGCCTTGGGTACAGGCTGATCCATGAGAGTGTATACTTTAGATTGGTTTAACATTTGAAAGAATTAACTGAGAGGTCAGTGGTAAGAGAGACAACCTCATCCTACCACACTACTGTGAAATCACTGAAGTGAATTAACCTTTCCCTGCTACATTGGAGACATACAAATTGAAATTATCATGTGTGAATTGTAAGTAAAAATGAAAAAAAAAATTTTTAAATGTTCAATTTCGGGAATGACAATAAGGAATGAAATAATTTCCCTGTGATCAACTTAATATGGTCATTATTTACTTCTTACATTAAATTAGCATCCACTAAGATCATTTTTAAAAATTTGTAATGTTCAGCCACCAGGGGAACTGCCTTTTAAATTTGATAAACAATTTGGACATTAATTAATTGCCTTAATTAAAAATGTTGGTGTTAACAATATTGAATTGGAAAATGACATTCAATAGACCTTCTCCTTGGCCTGTTGTCACTACTACCCGTCCACCTTGCATTTAAATTTAATGAGACTATCTCCATGGTTTGGGGTTAGTTATTTCTTAATATTAATTGACTTAGCAATACTGGTAATTATAATCGTTTTTTTTTCATTGATTATAAAGAATTTACTTCTCAGTTGGATTAACTTATTGAGAAACCATGCTAAAATTTTAACTGATGTGGCACCTTGCATTATTAGAAATATTCATAGAAATATGATTTAATTTTTTC